GATGCTTATCCGATTCCTATAATGGATGGTCTGCTTAGTCGTCTCCCGCCAGTGTATTGCATTTCCAAAATAGATCTTAAGGATGCATTTTGGCAAATCTGCCTAGATCAAGAATCCCGTGCAAAGACAGCGTTTACAGTACCGAATCGTCCGCTCTACCAATTCAAAAGGATGCCGTTCGGTTTAACCAACGCTCCACAAACCATGTGCCGTTTAATGGACTTCGTAATTCCGTATCAGCTAAAATCGCATGTCCTAGTCTACCTTGATGATCTTTTGGTGTTGTCCAACAGTTTCGAAGACCATCTCCTACATCTGTCTGAGGTAGCCACACAACTGAGGAAAGCAGGATTAACAATAAATGTCCAGAAGAGTCAGTTCTGTTTGAAACAGGTCGATTACCTAGGTTATCTGGTGGGCGAAGGAACACTTAAAGTTAATCCAAACAAAATCAGCGCGGTCAGCGAATTCCCGGTTCCCAAAACTCAGAAACAGCTGAGAAGATTTCTTGGTATGACCGGTTGGTACCAGCGCTTCATCTCAAACTATTCCTCGGTCATATTCCACCTCACAGAGTTGCTACGTGGCAAGGCATATCAATGGAATGAACTCGCTCAAGAGGCCTTCGAGAACATTAAGGCCAAGTTATGCTCTGCTCCCTGTCTCGTCCATCCGAACTACGAGAAACCATTCATTTTGCAATGTGATGCCTCACTACATGGTGTTGGCGCAGTGCTAGCCCAATGTGACGAGTCTGGTTGCGAACGACCAATAGCGTTCATGTCCAAGAAGCTCAACAAAGCCCAACGCAACTATACGGTTACTGAGCTCGAATGCATGGCTGTAGTCTTGGCGATTAAAAAGTTCAGGATGTATATCGATGGACATTCCTTCAAAGTAGTCACTGACCACTCCAGTTTGCGGTGGCTTATGAACCAATCCGATCTAAGCGGTAGACTGGCCAGATGGGCTATCAAACTGCAGGGTTTCTGTTTTGAAATCGAGCATCGTAAAGGAACTGAAAATGTCGTGGCGGATGCTCTTTCCCGTTCGTTTGAGGATGATGATGAAGTGGCTGCGATAACTCTGGAAGTTCATCCTGAAATAGATCTCGCATCGGATGCTTTCCAATCGGAAGAATATTCGACACTCCGGCGAAAATTCTCATCCGCAGGACTGCCTGACTTTCAAGTAGTCGATGATTTCATCTATTACCGTGCTGCATTTCCCAATTCGATCGACACTTCACCAGACGATTGTTGGAAATTGTTTGTACCCGAGTCATTGCGCCAGAGCGTCATCAGGGCTGCCCATGACCAACCAACATCTGCGCATTGTGGAATGGCTAAATGCCTTGAGCGCATTCGCCGTCGTTTTTACTGGCCAAACATGGTAGTTAACGTGAGGGACTATATACGCAACTGCGAAACGTGTCAGACCACAAAGTATCCTACACGTTCCTTGAAACCACCTATGGGCGTACAAGTACACAGCGAAAGGATATTCCAACGTCTCTATCTGGACTTTATTGGACCGTTTCCGCGTTCCAAATCTGGCAACATTGGCATATTGATTATCCTGGATCACTTTTCCAAATTCACTTTTCTAAAGCCAGTGAAAAAGTTCACCACAAAAGTGATAGTCAATATACTTCGCGAGGAAATTTTCCCTTGCTTTGGTGTGCCTGAAACAGTCGTGAGTGACAACGGCACTCAGTTTAAAAGCCGTGACTTCTCCGACTTCCTTTTGAAATATGGCGTTCGCCACATGTTTACTGGTGCCTATGCTCCGCAGTCCAACGCAGCGGAGAGAGTCAACCGCTCAATCAACGCGGCCTTGCGAGCTTACATCCGCTCGGACCAGCGCGAATGGGATATTTTCCTCAGCAGCATCAATTGCTCACTTCGTAACTTCATCCATCAGTCCATCGGTGTATCACCTTACCAGGTTGTATTTGGCCAACATATGATTTCACACGGCCAAGACTACAAGTTGTTGCGCAAGTTAGGCCTACTCGCCGAAGGAGATGTCGACCTCCCAAGGACTGATGAGTGTCAGAGAATTCGCTCTAGCATCCACAAACATCTAACCAAAGCTTATGAGACGAACCAGCGTACATATAACCTACGTACTAGACCCCGATCGTTTGAAGTAGGTCAAGAAGTGACAAAACGGAACTTTGCGTTGAGCAACGCAGCCAACAATTTCAACGCAAAACTAGCCCCAGTCGGAACAAAAGCGCGAGTTAAGGAGAAACTTGGGCAATCAATATATGTCCTGGAAGACATGAATGGCAAAGAGCTTGGTAAATTCCATGCCAAGGACATTTGGTAATCCCTCCTGACTCCTTTTTCAGCTTTTATTGTTAGTCACAGGGACTAAAAATCAAAACTGTGGTTGTGAGAGTCAGTATATTTTTGCCTAAGTATTAGCGAAGACATTGCAGCTAAGTCATTCACCCGAAATGCGACCCTGCTATTAGCGAGGATCCGATCCTCACACTAATCAACCGAAAATACCATACTTAAGGATTTTGGGATTTCACGCATACGACGTTCACACTAGAAGCCATGATTTCCGCCTCTTTTATATCGGCGTCTCCCGTGACCAGTTCGTTCGCTCCGGAAAAATTCTTTATTCGATCGCATCCAATCATCCGCGAGTGATTTTCCTGCTAATCTTTGCATATTTTCCCCTATTATTGTTCCTATTCTTGTTGGTGAGTTAATTTCTCGGAAATATTGTCGTTTTCTGACTGGAATTTCCCAGAACACAGAAACCACCGACCACGTGCGATTTCCGAGAATTGCAAAAGTTTGCGAGCCCTCCCTCTGCGCACAGCAAGGAGCTGGAGCCGCTACAGCGGTAACATTTTTGTTGCATCAGTGCCACGCTAGCGCGACGCCCAGGATTTGCATCAGCTCTGCGCCTGGATTTAACATTTCCTCAGAGCCCACGCCTGGGTCGTATTACATCATCGCCACGCCTGAATCTACATAAAGGATCTCTGTAAAGGCGCACACCGCGTGAAGTGGATCTTTTCTCCTTTCCACGCCTGGACTACCGTACTGTTCGTCATACCGGACCTAGTTTGTCAGCGTCCAACCGCAAGCGGCATCAAGGAACGCCGTTTCTACCTCACCAAGCCCGCGTGAGGTTTTCATCGTGCAAAAACCGCACCAAAATCGACAGGTCCGATCCAGTCGGACGAAATTCGGACGAATCCCGCCGAAGCGTCAAATCCGCGCAAGCACGCGCAAACACGAAGTCTCATCCCAATTGGAATTTCAGTTCCAATTCTGGTTCCAGTTCACGTTGGCCGGGGCTGCCAACTTGTTCTTTGTATCGCATTAAGTAAAAGTAGTTTAGTTTTCTTCTTTTCCAACACATTTAAGATACGATTCTAATTTACTTTACGATTCCTATTTAGCCAACATTATTTCGTGTGTGCTTATGATATAGATTGACATATATAACCATTACATAAACACTTCAAAGTTCTACAGCACACATCGATCGTCATCAGGCCTGCTGACTTCGTTGGAGAGTTCGTAAGTACGGCATAGCCGTCAAAACATTTAACTATATATTCATTCTTGTCTAAGCCCACACATTTGATATATATATTTACTTAACTACTATCATATAATATATACCGTATATTGGACATTAAATAAGAATCGTTTGCATTTGATTAACGTAAAGTAATCGGCCTCAGGGCCTCGGATTGAATAAGAAATCGTATATCGATAACATAATGTAATCAGCCACGATTTAACGTAAAGTAAATACTTTCTTTTCCTTTTTCTTTTTGACAATCGTAAATACAAACACGACCGTATAGAGAGTCGCTTAACGTAGACAACGTTTTAGTCTTAAGGACTTAGTTTTAGCATTATTAGAATTAAGAATGAACCGTATTATCGCATTTGGAGTATTAAAGATGAAGTTTAATATGAATTAAATTGTTATCTTTTGAGGGCCCCTAAGAGAATGTAGCGCAGCGGTTGTTTAAGGGTAGAGTCTGATGAGGCTTTACAGGTAGGGTGGGTATAGAAGGAGGCCATTACCATCTGGGCTTCCATCTTCGATAGGTACACTCTCTCGTCCGAATCTTAGCCGTTGGGTTTAAGTTCTTATCGTTATCGTTTCTCTGTCTACTACTGTTAGTTCTGTGACACTCTTGTTCTATCTTAACACAAACCCACACCCAGCTCTCTGAGTAGGCCGGTCGAAATGTAGACAGAGGTGTTAGGGTGGACAACGCTCATCGAGTGTGTTCGTTACAGATGTGAAAGCGAATGCAGCTACTTTGATGCCCCCCAAAACCCGACTTCCTGGGATCCTGTCCCGGAGTAATCTTCGTCCTTAAGCTGCTTGTTACCATGAAAACCTTTTATAGCCGCTATAAATTCACATAAATACTGGTTCTTTGGGGTCGAAATTCAGGTGGCTTCGAATTGTTATTAAACTTTAAATAAGTCTAGAAGGCAATGAATTAGTATTTGTCTTTAAAAAAAGGGAAAAACAAACAGATAAGATTATTCTGTTTAAAAAAAAAAAACTATTTCTTATAGTTTATTGAAAGCCAAGGCTAAAATATCCAAGTGTTGAGTTTAAAAATAACTAAATAAAAATTGTAGTTAAATTTGCTTTGACAGAAAAAGTCTGCAATATTTGAAACTGCCCTTTTTGCCATAAAACAAAATGGTTTTCATATAAATTCGATACTTTGCATTAGCGTCCTTTTGGGGCAACCAACATACATTTAAATTTACCTTACAGATTGCGATATAAAATTGTATATAAATCATGGCAGAAAGTAGCAACTGCAACCTGCAGCTATTATCATGCAAAAACCGACCACTTTATTTGAATAGAATCGGAGACGCTTTGGGGCTTTATTTCTACTTCTGCCTTTGTCCTTTTGTCCTTTGGCAATCCTCCGCCACCTCAATCACGCTCTATATTTTTTTGTTCCTCCTCCTTTTTTTTTGCAGGCCAGCGATGAATGCAGGTGCTGTGTAAGTGCCACTGCCGTGGAGAGGAGATCCGAATCCGGAGATCCTGGTGGAATCAAAGCCGGAACGTGACTTTTGCCAAAAGTGAATTGAGCCACCGCAGCGATAAAAGCGATAAAAGAGCTGCCATGCCAACCGGCGAGTGTCGCTAGGACACTCTTTATCGCCTGGCCGAGATAAAGGATACAGGTGCAACCGTGATGAGACCCGCTGACATCTATTGGGGCTTCACCCCCCTGTCCCTGCTCCTCATCCTCGTCCTGCAGCTCCTGGCATCGGCTGCAGGGACTCCGGTGCCTGCGAATCCACATCCCTGTGCCCACAAGGGCATGGCCGAGCTGATTCGCAGCAGTCCGGTGATTGTCAAGGCCCTCGCCGCCCGGGTTTTCACCGATGAGATGGACGCCTCCTCCCCGCAGGACACGATTTTAATAACATTAACGCCGGAAACGATATACAAGGGCTCGTCCCTGCTGAAAATGGCCAACGGCGGTGGCGATTCCGAGGACCCAATGTCCCGGCGAGCCGGCGGTCTGATGTCCTGGAGCTCGGGACACAGGAGCAGAAGCTCCGGGGGATCCGCGGGAGGAGGTGGTTCCTCCTGGAGTGGCGGTGCTGCTGAGTCAGCCTTTCAGTACGAGGGGTAAGCACAATCATGGTCATCCTCATTTTGTCCACTTTACCATTAACCCTTTAATTTTGCCCCCACAGGCAGCTAAATGCGACCCTCCAGCCACTGCGTTGTTTCGATAATAACATGCTGAGAATGCTGCCGGCTGAATTAATTGCCTTTGGCAAACTTCTGCCCGCTGCGTCGGCGGCGTCTGCGTCGTCATCCTCCGGAGGCGGAAGTGCTGCCGCTGCCGCGCGACCCGCACAGTTGCAACGACCGCCCGTGGGCGGCGCCACTGATGTGCTGCAAATCAGCGTCAACGGTCTGCATCGCTGGACGCCGCAGTTCGAGAATCATATCTGGAAGCATTTGGGTAAGCGCCAACTTCCTGTGTCCTGTGTCCTGTGGCTTCCTACACTGAAATTTAAATTTTAAATATTTTAAATGGAATATTAATATTTAATTAGAGAATTATTAGATTCTAGATTTCCTTTTTTGTTATTTAACATAGGCTTTAAAACCTAATAGCGAAAAAGATTAAAGAGTTTAGAGCGTACTTTATATTTAAAATGGCCCTTAAATTTTTAAATTAGCTAAATATTTCATTGGATTAAAGACGCTATTAGACTAAGAAATTCCTTAAATTTGTTTCCTCTTTAATCAAGAGATATAATAAAGAATGGCTTAAAACCTAACAGCGAAAAAGAATAAAGAGCTTAGAGCGTACTTTATATTTAAAATGTCCCTCAAATGTTTAAATTAGCTAAATATTTCATTGGATTAAAGACGCTATTAGACTAAGAAATTCCTTAAATTTTTTTTCCTGTTTAATCAAGAGATATAAAAAAGAATTTAAGATATTAAAACGAGTGTGAGCTTTGTAATACTCTTTAAATTTAAGTTAACTGCTTCGAATTACTTTAAAATACACAACAGAGGGTGAGGCTTCATTATGCACTTTTATAAGCTCTCGAAATATGATATTTCCCAGTGCATCAAGGCTGTCCCCACTCGATTGCCTCCTTTTTCCTCCCAGGACTTCGACCAGGCCGGGCTTCCGTTGCTTCCGTTAGTTAATCGCATTTCGCTTGTTAGTTGTTGCATTGTTGAGCAAATCGCTCCGGTCGGATGTTAGTCGAGTATTGGATGAACCCGGCGGGATAGAGTTTCCAAACTAGAGGCCACTGGTCAGTGGACGTCAGGATGTCAGGACACCAGGACGTCCTGGCTCGGATGGGGCGGCAATCAGTGGTAATTGGCACTAGCAGAGGGCCAAAATCTCCACCCATCTCTCGGCTCAAATGTCGCAACATAATTGCCAACGACTCTGTTATTTAAAGCCGCTTATATTCCCCTTCAATTGGGCTTTTAAGTAATTCAAGAGTGAAATGCGGCCAACACTTGAAATTCCTCTACTTATTTGGCTTATTCGTCAGTCTATTGTGACTTCATGAGCCCAGCTGGGAGATTAATCTTTGATGAAGATTGATAGCAATCGCCACCCATTCACTGGTGGATTCCTCTGCTCGAAAAGGAGGTGAAAGTATAAAATAGAGCAAAATAAAATAAAATGAAAAGTATATCAAATAAAAAGGGAACTTCTCGATGACGCAGCAGATGTTGCAGATACAGCAGATGTGGGCCAGAACCTCCTACTCCTCCGCCTTTCAATCCTCTCAAGCTGGCAATCCGCACCACCGCCACTCAAGGGAAGCAACACTTGACTTTTGTGTCAAGCGGCAAGAGGCATCCACATCCACGTCCACGCCCACCGAGGATCTGCCTTGAATTGCGGTCTCTGAATGAAAGGCCTTTAGTCCGAACAACTAAAGAACAAGCAGCACTAAAATTTGGCACGATGATGTCTTAGTTTTTTCTCATGGTAAGGGATTAAAAGGGATTCCAAAAAATAGCTGCACGGAAAAAATTACAAGTTTCTCTATTAAAATGGGTATAAATAAAATGAAATTATTTTTTTACGTGAAAATAATATTCAATGGTCAGCTCATTGTGCGTCGCGGTCAAATTGATATGCGCATGGTAAATTTCTTTTCGTTTCTTCTCATTTTTACCGTGCAATACGGATATCTCTCTTTCGGAGATTCTCCGACTTCGAAAAAGAGAGGAAGTGTTTCATGTGACAACTTAATTTACGTGAGTGGGAACGTGAAGAACAAACTCTCCCAATTCGAAAGAGAGCAAGTTAGCGCTTAAATTTACATGAATGGGAAGGTGAAAGTCATATTTGAGCATATCAAGTTCAAATTGATACCACATAACGTAAAATCGATCATCGCTTCATATCCAGTTTTCTATGGTAGGTTTGTCGTCTTTCTAACCCGTTCCCTAATCAATTAAACTTATTTAATTTAAATATTTAATATTAAAGGATTTAAAACCGTGAAATTTCTTTCCTCTGAAAATTGAAAAATTATTCCGCAAGTACTCACCTTTCTGTATTTTCCGAAACTCACTGCAAACAATTGGCAATCAATTACAGGCTGGGATGATTGGAGCGACTTCACCCTGTGCAGTGTCACCTGTGGCCAGGGGGTGCAGCAGCGCTTCCGGCGCTGCCTGCTGGACAATCCGCTGGTGGACATGAACATGAACATAAACCTGGCGGAGGACGATGAGGATGACGAGGACGAGGCGGTGGATGCTGATGATGAGGTTGCAGTCGAGCTGACCGTTTCCAAGGAGGCGGACACTTTCAGCGATGGCAATAACGATCTGCTGGCCGATGATGGGGATGAGAACGACCTGCTCATAATGCGAGCGAGTGGCGACGAGTCGTTGCATAAATTTGACCAAGCTACGACGATAATGCCGCAGACCAGAGGCCGTTCTCCAGTCCATTCTCATTCGAATCCGAGTGCCAGTCCCCCGGGAGAAACAAGCGGCGGTAATGAACCACCAGCAGAAGGAGGAAGAGTAGGAGGTTCTGACCAAAGTGTCAGGTTTGTGCCGACTGCACGCAATGACCGGGATGGGAATCGAGTTGCAGTGGGAGGAGGAGGAGTTACCCCTAGAGTTGGCACCAGGAAGGCACGTGCCAGCAATCAGCACAAGAAACACAGGCCTGCCAAAAGTGTGGCCCTGTCCACACTCCTCTGCGAGGGTTACAACATCGAGCAGCGCAACTGCAACAGTTTCGAGTGCAGCGGTGAGTTTGCCAATTAATTACTTAATTTAACTTTAGTTGAATATTTTTTTTTTATAAATTTAAAAGCTACATTTATTTTTTGGCTAACATTTGATTTTTTCTTGAGGAATTACATCACGTTTTTGGTACGAAATAAGGATTGGAGACCTAAGGATAAATCAGCAACTTTTCTAGTGTTTTTTATGTCGATATTTACTTACTAACTAACTACATAAACTAAAAATTCACAAAACATTTAATTAAAATTTAAAAATATACCTCGTTTAGCTTTCTTTAATTTTGTAAAATCGTCAATAAGATATAACACTAAATATTTCTAAAATTTGTTGTATTTTTCTCTAACAAAAATTGGAATTTTTTGTGTTTGAAAATTAGGACTAGGGAACTTAAGTAAAAAATTAAAGAATATGTGGTATTCAAAGTTTTAATACTAAAAGTTTAATTTTTAAATTACTACTTTACAGATGATATAAGTGATCTGCTAAAATTCTACAAGAAGCTGCCGATGGGCGAAGAGCTGCCCACCCAATCCTCGGATGCCTCCTTCGCCTCCTCCTACGTGGATCCGTATTCGAATGCGGATATCACCACGGTGGGTTTGATGGGCACTGCCTTTAGTCCAACACCCTCGACGCCCTACAATATGGGCTACATCCGCAGCTGGAGGAACCTGCTTAATTTCACACTGATGGTTACTCTAAGATCCAAGGTGGGTACGCCTCGAGGATTTCTTATCGAACGGGTATGAAATATTCTTGATATTTCAGAACGATACCAAAAACACGGCGACCATATTCTCCATTCGCAACGCCACCCACAATCTTTATCTGGAGGCCTGCCAGGATGGACTGCGTCTGTATCTCGAGCGGGACAATGCGACGGAAATGTTGCCGGTGAAATTCAATTTATACGATTATCGCTGGCATCAAGTGGCTATCAGGTGAGAGTGTGTTTGTTATGTGGGAGTGGGTGTGGGTTGGTTGGGGGATGTGGATGGTGGATGAAAGTGGGAAGGTGATGATGAGTGAGTCCCCCATCTGCCCCGATGATTGGCAATCACTGCCTCTGTGTGTGTGCCCCAATGGCACTCACTTCGATCTGATGGCCATCGTCGTTGACACTTTCGTTTATTTGCATTTTCAATTTATTAGCATAAATGTTTGTGCCATGAAACGCACACTGGCAAACACTTGACACACATGCAAATAGTAGGCAAGGACACAATTGCGGTAGAAAAAATATGACAGGGATTTGAGGTTTTGTGTTTAACTACATATTTCTCCATAAGTGTTTTATTTAGTTTTAATCAGAGGCCGAAAATACCAGGAAAGCTTACAGTTGCCGTAGAAAAAATATACCTCGCATTTCGAGGTTTTATTTTTAAGTAGTTGTATTTGTAGTTTTAATCAGGAACCAAATAAAAACCTTATTTAAGTTTTTAATTTTTTTTTCACTTTTATTTTAATTAAATACAATTTTCGTTGATTTCACATTTATGTTGTTTGTGGATTAAAAAGTGTTAATTTATTGTTAAAAATTTCAATTTGCCTTTTTGGTATTTTTCTGCAAGCTCTTATTTTTTTTGGTTTGTGTAAAATAAGTAGATCCTGCAAAAATGTTGATAAAAACATGAAAACCCTCACTAATTAATTAAAAACACAGCCGACTTAGCCTTTATGGCTACTTTTTTCACCGCTGCTGTATACAGACAGCTTGCACATGAATATCGAAGGCCCTTTTTTTGTGGTTTTTGCTTTTTGCTGGCTACAACGACACACAGCCAAATTGACACTCGGTTCAAGTGGGCACCATTTGTCATCGACCGTCGGCACATTTCTCACTGTCACTGTATGGGTGTGTCTGTGTGTGTGGGGGGAGGGGGGGCTCCAACATACTAACAATGCACCAACATGTATCCTTATATATATAGTTTAATTATTTGCGAATAGCTCACTTTACCATTATTGTTTTGCTGTTATTCCCATCCGCCGTGCAGCATACAGAATGGCGATTTCATATCGATTTACGTCGATTGCGCGTGGACAAACAGTTTCGTCGTCTCCAAGCGACTTTTCACGTTGCCCGTGGACGCGGATGTGGAAATTGGACGCGGCTTTAATGTGAGTACAGTGTAGACACTATGTCATATTTCCCGGGGGAGGCATATTTTTCTATTTTCATCACTCGTTACTTTGGCTTCCACCTTGTAATTTTATTGAGTGCCTCTAAGGATTGCTAAAGAAAGAAATTTATAGAAATGCCAGTTAAAAATAAATATAATGTGTGAATAAACCGTACAAAAATAAAACAAAAATATTAATCGCGATTAATCAATTTTATTTTTAAATTCCACGGCTGTTAGTAAATGGATTAAATTTCTGATATCAAAATAATGGATTGAATTACAAAGAGCTTACGTTTTGTTATTTTAAATTTAAAGTGAAAAAAAAATATAGAAAATACCGAGCTTTGCAAATATTTGTGCCAGCTGACTATAAGTTTTTTCAAGACTTATTCTTAAAAAATAATGAAAGCATTTAGCTGTATTCCCCTGGCCTTAAATGCATTTAATAAAAACCAATAAATGTAAACAAATCGACGCTCAGGCCATTTTTATTGCGAGGCGAGGCCTGCATGACGTTGATAGCGCATACGCCTCGTTGCCCGGATGACAATGCAAATAAAACAATTAATGGCGAACAATTATGTACTTTATGCGCGCATTAACTTTCGCTTTTTCCTCATCCCCAGGGGGAGCTGCAGCAACTTCTCGTCCTGCCGGAGAACCAGGAAAGGCTGCAGTGCAGCAACAAGCGCACCTCCATCAACGAGGTGAAGCGCTACATCATCGACACATTCATCGAGGACTACAATGGCAATTGAAACCAATGAAACCGATGAAACCGGGAAGGCCAATCGACCGAAAGCCACTGAATATGAATAGGCAAGCAAAAATATGCGATATGCGTATATTATATTGCGGCCAAAATCCGATTACAAATTCGGCAAATCAAAACTGCATAGATTTATGATTATTCATTTCATTTGCATATATATATTCATATATGTAAGGGCAGAAAAGAGTATGTGCAACTATACATACTAATATTACGCATACGCCATGTGATTTATGCGCTAGCAAACAGCGCACTCCACTCCACAAAAAACAGCATAATAACCATAACCAGTCAGTAAAATTCGATTACGGACACATTATGGAAGAATATTTATAATAATTAAGCTAATTTGACGTAATACAATAATTGTAAACGCAGAAATTAATACAATTTGCATAGCGAAAGGCCAAGGCAAATGCAGAAAAATAAGAGAATGATCAAATATAACGCAACTATGTATATGGTAAAAATAAAATGGGTTTTTCTTGGGGTTTCATGGCTGTTGGTTAAACATAAGTATCTCACGGAATATTTCACTGCCCACACACATGGGTTTTTGGGCTTGAGTAAGCAAAATTTGAATATGCAAATGAGGTGTGGAGTATTGTTTGGTCAGCGTTGTCCCGGAAAGTTGGCCAACCAGCCAGTCCACTTCAGTCAGATTGTGGTTTTTGTGCATTTCGGGTGCGCTTCACTAATTTGACAAAGGATCAACTTGTACATTATGCTCTGCCCGTCAAGTGCTCCCAGCTAAACTGAAGGATAATCCCCGAACAGATCCCCCTGGCACCAGAGAGAGAGAGGATTTGCTTATATAGACAGCTGAAACTGCAGCGACACTTGAATAAGGTTCACCCGAAACAGCAAGGCAAAACAGCAGCCGCACCTAAATTCATAATTTCCTCTTGGCGGGAAAAAGCCCGACGGCCGGCATCCGTTTATGCGGCTTGCTTCTGTCTCTGGATCGTAAATAATCTTCCCTACGCTCTACACTTTATGCACAGCTCCTTTTCCTCTATTATTTTATACAGGGTACTTTTGGTTAGATTGTACAAGACTTTGCTTATCTTAAAACTTTGGAAGTGCTTCACAAACAGAAAATATGTATAGTGAAATCATTGTCTTAAAATTCAAATATACATTTTTACTGCTTTTACCTTTACTATAAATTTAGTTTCCTTTTAATATATACATATGCGTTTATTAGTGCGTTTTCTTAAATAGGACTTTAAATATTTTATAAGGTGTTACATCCCAAACTAAGATTTTTGATATAAATTAAATGAATCCTAAAGATCTGTTGCTAACTAGAAATTCTGTAGAATATTTTACAAAAATCTTAACTAATTTATAAAAATTAGGATATTTTAAAAATAATTCATAAAAAAATGGTATTTTTTTTGATTTTTTTTACAGTACCTCTTTATTTTCATTTTTAAATTTTCTAGTTTTTTATTCGTTAAACTAACTACTAAATAAATTAAACGCTACCCTTTTTCACTAATAGATCGTAGCTTGTTAAATAGCTCATAAAGGTATGCTACACTTTTTTAACTTTAATAATGGTATCTTATGGTCGGGACACTCGCCCATATCTTTCCTGTTCTTCCTTCTTCTCCACGTCATTGGCAATTTCAGGCATTGGGTAAAAATGTTGCCGCGCTTGGCAAGTCGAATGCAGGCGACAGGCGGTGGAGACATTGATGAATTTCCTGTCGCATCCTTGGCGCTCGCTGTCTGGCAGGTGGGTCTTATGCTCGAGGACCCCGTCAAAGCGGAAAACCGGGAACTCGGGAACCGCCTGGCGACGTCAAATAAACCTGCGACTCTGGCAAACAGCAAGCAGTCGCCTATTGTGACTTAATAACTTCTACTCACGTCATCAAGGTGCATTGAACCGTGAAGTGCTGGTGCAAAAACGGCGAAAGGAGAAAGGATAACCCATAGCCACTGCAAAAAATGGTTGGCAACTGCATTGAATGCGAGTGCAGTGGTATCTGAATTAACTGCGCAAAGCTACACACTCGTTGGCATCTGGGTTTTAATTTTTGCAACTACAAAAATAAAAACCCTATCCTATCTCACATACATGTGACACATATTCGAGCTGCAAGCAATTAGTTGCAGTTGCTAGCCAGGTAAATAGAGCACGCAGCCCAGTCATTAGGAATTTAATAGTTGTTATCTTTAAATCCAGCCAGGTCTTAAATTCGTTCAAATATACCTTTATACCTTGATGGAAGGGGACATAAATCTCTGCCTCTGAACAAATTTTCGCGCAACATGTTGCACTTGATGTGTGTGTGCAACGCAACGCAGTGTCCCAGAAAATGCAAACGTAAATCTTTGGGACCTTTGCTTTTTCTCCTTGTCCGCAAAATGCAGCGAAATTCGTTTAAACCGAATCTGTAAATACTTTGGCCAACGGCTAAGACTGCAATTGGGTCAGAAAACGGGGACTACCCTTAGTTAGGGCATTAAAGTCACACGGCAAACGCAAGTAATTCGTTTGAAAGTCGTATAAGGGCGAACGAATACGCCAAAGGCATGCGTGTACAAGTGTAATTTTATTTATTTATGGCTGCTTTGGGAGGAGCAACTTCTAGGATTCCGCGTCGTTACATTTCTTTTAAATTTCTGCGCTTTCTTGAGGGGAACTTTCGTTGAAAGCGAAAATGGTCAAAAAAAGTTCAATGCTATTTGTTAAGTTTTAAAATTTTTTTTATTAAGTCATTTTATTTTAATAATACGAAATTTTAATGACTTTATTTTTTTTATAACGTTAAATAAAATAATTAGATATTTTAAAGTCTTTCTTTTTTTGTTAATATGTTAATGGTTATATGCAACTTTGAACATTTCTTTAAAATTTTAATTTTTTTAACGGGGTACTATAATTTTTCAAATTTTTTATATTAAATAGCATTTATTTAATATTTTGAGAGAATTTCTTTTTAATTTGTTGTAATTATTCCCTTTTTATTTAATTACGAAAAGTTCTTTTGGATTATTTTTAAAATAAATCATAGTTTACTTCAGATTTTTTCCTTTTTTCTTTTTTGCTTTCTATTTTTATTTTTAAACAGTTCACAGGATATTCCACCTTAATACAGCATGGCTTTAAAAGTTTGCCACGGGACAGAAATAAAATGGTTGGGCTCAACAATGCGATCTGGACAATCCATTGCAGACGTGGCATGTAAAGCCATTCAACTTCACCCCTCGGAAACTGTGTAGAGGTTGGGCAGCAACGCCCACTGTCAATCTGAATCCAGAAAAGGGGTTCGGCCAAAGGCCATGGCCAGGGGTCCTGGCGAGGATGTGCTCATGGTCTGGCCACAGGATCCGTATAAATGCCTTTATTTGTGTAGGTCAAACAAAATGAACTGTAACAATATTGATACAGCTGGCATCGGAGGTTCGAGCACAAAAGTATTGTGGTACGACTGCGACTTTCCGAATCCCCCTTTCCGCGCCCCCCAATTAAGTCTGGCTGGCAGCCGTCCCTGGCCAGCTTTTTGTTTCCGCTGTGCATCAAACCAGCGAGCGGCTTCATTAACCTAAGCCACAAAAGTTTACCGAGGGATTAACTTGTCTATTGAATGAAAAATAAGTATCTGGTCGAGGCTGCATGCTCCAGAATGTGGGCATTCAATTTAAATGTATGCTGGCTGCGGTCAAAATAATTGGCTTAAATAGTTTTCACAAATCACTGGAAATCTCTTTGGCTGCATGTGAAATTATGATTGATTTTTTAGAATTTATTTATAGATAAGTTGACTATAAATATTTCGAAATAGTTGGGGCTTATAAGGGATGCAAATTTGTTTTACTGGGCAATAACATAAATAAAAAAATGCTAAAGAAAACTGGTAGATGAAAATGGTTAATAATTTTATATTATAGTACAAGTATTATTCCAATATTTACCATTATGAATTTTAATAAAATGTTATTTTTGGTACATCTTATGAGCTGTAAATAACGATTATCGTCACATTCTTTTAGAGTAAGGAAACATCATATTTAAAATTTACTATTTTATGATAAAAACGACATGAATTTCTCATATTTGTGATTATTTATTGAATAAATTAGCTCCCCAATACAGTATTACCTTATCAGTAATTTGAATTGGCCGCCACATCGTCAGATCTGGTCCATCCCTAAGGGACTGCCAACTTTCGGATGGTGTGACCAGAGTCCACATTTCTAACGAACGAATTTCAAAATATTCAAATCGGCCGACTGTCCGGGCATATTCTTTCAAGTTTATATGAATTTGGTTCAACTCTACGGCACGGGCTGCCGCACAATGACACCGCCGCGCGGTTCCGGCGCCGCTTTCAATTGGATGCGCCGCTCCTGCGGATTCGGCTGGGTCCGAGTCACGCGAGTTGGCAGGCCGGCGCACCCCCAGCCGCACACCACCCACCACCACCCCACCGCCCACCGCCTGCTCTGCACGAAAACAACAATCGGTTTCCGACAGCAAATGGACCACACAATACCGCCCAAGGAGTTCAAATGGACGCCGGGCAACCTGATCAACGAGAACTTCAAGCTGGGCGACCATGGTCACGTCTGCGTTGTGCTCAATCGGCAAATTCAAGTGCCGGCGCACGTGGTCAAGCTGCTGTGGCGGAATGGTGAGTGCCTGGAGCTGTTATAAAACCAATCCCAGCCAGAACTCGATCTCTTTTTCCAGCCGCCGTGCGCTGTGCCGTCGACGGGGGCTCCAATCACTGGCGTGACTTTGTCGTGGGTCAGGCAATGTCGAAGTCAAAGTCAAATGGCGCTGGCACCGCGGGCACACCACTCGAACCGCTGGACGTGATAACGGGTGACTTTGATTCGATCACCGAGGACACGGTGGACTTCTTCAAGACCACGCCGAAAGTGCATACACCCGATCAGGATGCCACGGACTTCACCAAGGCCATTGCCGTTCTGCAGCCCGTAATGGCGCAGAGGAAAATCCGTGATGTAGTGGTGTTCCATGACACCTCCGGTCGGCTGGACCAGGTGATGGCCAACCTGAACACGTTGTACAAGTCGCAGAAGGACAACTGCAATGTCTTTCTCCTCAGCGGCGATTCGGTGACGTGGCTGCTGCGGCCAGGGAAGCACACGATACAGGTGCCCACCGACCTGGTCACCAGCCAGCGGTGGTGCTCCCTGATGCCCGTGGGATCGGCGGCGCACAACGTCACCACCACGGGGCTCAAGTGGAACCTATGTGTGTATATAATATCGGATTTTAGGTGGAATCGATTTTTTTAGATACGATTTAAAGCCACATTTGATTGGTTACAAATTTTACTTATTAAGTTTTAATTTGATTTAGGCTAAACTTAATTGAGGTTTTTGTAAAGAAAATTTTAACCAATCAACCAATTTAAAAAAAACGATTTCACCTAAAATCCGATGTCTAAATATCACATCTTATCTACCGAATACTTAATTTCTATGGTTTTCTTAACTAGATCACGCACAAATGGAGTTTGGCGGCATGGTTAGCACATCTAACACCTATGCCACCGAGTTTGTCCAAGTGGAGACGGATGCCAACCTCATATGGTCCATGGGCGCCTACGACTTCGAGGACAAGGTGCGACAAACAGCAAAGACATGAGACGCCAATGGAGACCCAAATGGAGGATACTAAGTACTTAAGTAAGGGTAGGGATTACACCAATGTACAGTGTTGACGGCCAAAGCTGCATCCTTATGTTTACTTTTTTCTGTGGGGAGCAATTAATATAGTGCTGTTATTGTTTAACAAAATGAAACTTGTAGTACTAAGCTCTTAATTAACTATTAATGACAATTTATTGATAAATAAATAGTTTTTGCTTGTTTAGAAAACTTTAATGTTGGCTAACAACCTATTTTAACACGATACAAAAATTGTTAGGCTTAAAACGAGTTACTTGGAGCCTGGCAGTGGCATTAAATCAAAGCTGGCGCTGCTCCCTGTTTTCTTGGATTTCCAGCCGGATGATGAAGAGGAAGCTGTGCTTTCCGCTCGCTTCGCCCCTGCCCTACCACCTCTGCCCCTGGCGGATGTGGTCTTCCTGGCCGCCGGCGAAGATGTATTCGTTTTGTACCTCTTACTGGCTCCTCCCTTGTAGATCTTTTTTCGCTTGCCCGCTCGGAAGGAGTTGAAACCGCTGCCACCGCTTGTGTTTGCCCCACCCTGCGATGCCACCGCTCTGTCCCAATCCAACGCACTGTCGTTGTTCCAACCCGAGGTTGTGGGCTTCTGCTTGGCGGCGGCCGCCTGCTCCTCCTCGTCGTCCAGAACGGCCTGCATGAGCAGCTTCTCCGAGGCATAGTTGCAGGTAATCTCGAGCAGCTTGGCGCCGTATTTATCATAGTTCGCCTTGGTCACGTGCGGTATGCTGCACATGTCCTTCTCGCTGAGGGGTAGTGTTTCAGCCATGGCTTTCAAAGCCTGAATGTTCATGATGCTGGCCATCGTGACGTTCCGCTGGCTGGCAATGGTTCGGCAAAGATCTAGAAGATCCGTGTAGCAGCGCTCGTGAATCTCTCGCATTCCCGACTTGCTTTCGGCGCCACTGTTTGCTGCCGCATCGGAAACGCTGCCCACCGTCGCCTTGGCTTCCTTGGCGTTTTTGGTCACGGCAAACTCAAAAGTGGGCGTGCCCTCCATTAGTTTACTAATATTATTGCCCAGATACAAGTAGGCCTGCGGAAAGTCGTTGGTGAATATTAAATCCTCTCTTAAGAATCCATCGATGACCATTTTGCGTAGTATCCTATGAATGTCGTTCTTTTCCCAGTCTTTCAAGGCTCCATGATGCGGTGTTTTGTGGTGGTTAAAGTCCACGATCTTCTTGATCTTGGAGCCCTTGAGGACGTCGGCTATGTGCAAGAGTGTGAAGCGAGATCGGCCGCTGCACAGGTCCTTGACAGCGCGCGCCGCCTTGCGGGCATGTTCCAGTGCGTCGACCGCTCGATAGGCCTTCTTGTTGATGCAGTTGTCGCAGGCGGTCTGCCGGTTCTCCAGGCACTGCTCGCTGGTGAAGTGCTCCCCGAAATAGTCCAGCTGCTGGGCACGCCGGCAATCCGTGAGATTTTCACAGTAGCCAACAATGCGATACAGATTGTCCACATGTATCTTCTTCACATTGTACTGGAGGGCTTTGTCGGCTGAAAAGTGGAATTAAAAAGGAAATGTTAAATTTAAAATCCTGATTAATATCTAGTAGAGCCCTGCGTGAATAATTCAATTTTTGTTTTATCATAGTATGCCTTGAAATTTCTGATTTCTTTAATTCAATTCTGGGTGAAATAAATTGAATGTTTTTCTAATTCATTTTGAAATGAATAAATAATTTTTATGAATTTTTTGAATTTGCCATATTTTTTTTGTGTTTTGTTTTGAGAAGAAAAGGTGGAAAATAACAAATCAATCAGATTTAATCACAAAATTATGGCTTTCTTCTTTAAATGAAATTGTCGTTTGAAATATTTCGGAATCCATTCAATTCTATTAAACTCAAAATTCATATTCATTCAACTCTATTAAACTCAAAATTCTAATTAATTCATTCATATAAAACAAAAAATGCAAAATAATTCATTGAATCCATTCATGCAGGGCTCTAATATCTAGACCACTTACAGTCCAGCATCTTCTTGATCCTCAGCATGTCCGCATAGTTGTAGTACAAGATGCAATCGGCCATCTCGCCGTCTCGTCCAGCGCGACCTGCCTCCTGGTAGTAACCCTCGATGGACTTGGGCAGCGAGTAGTGCAAGACGAACCGCACATCCGGCTTGTCGATGCCCATGCCAAAGGCGATGGTGGCACAGATCACCTTGATCTTGCCGGTCAGCCAATCCTTTTGTCGCGTCTCCCGCTCGTTGTCCGTGAGTCCCGCATGATAGGCCACCGCCCGGACGCCATCCTTGCACATCTTCTTGGCCGTCTCGTCGCACTCCTTGCGGGACAGGCAGTAAATGATGCCGCTCGAATGCGCCGGCTTGGTGCGAATGTAGGCACTAATATCTTCTAGAGTGGATGCACCCTTTTTGGGCAAAACCCTGTAGCGCAAATTGCTGCGATTGAAGCTGGACAAAAACCACTTGCAGTTCTTTAGATTCAACTGCGCCAGAATGTCCAAACGAACGCGCGGCGTTGCTGTGGCGGTTAAGGCGATGGTGGGAACATTGGGGAAACGCTTCTTCAGCACTCCAAGTTTCTTGTAGTCCGGCCTGAAGTCATGACCCCACTGCGAAACACAATGGGCCTCGTCAATAACGAATCGACTGATGTAGTTGTTCGAGTTCAGGGTGTCCAGTATGTCCTGGAAGCGAGCCGAGCTGCTGATCTTCTCGGGCGTCACGTAGAGCAGTTTGACCAGCGGTGGTTGGGATTCTAAATCCCTGTAGATGGCCGTCACATCGGCCATTTTTTGTTCTCCACTAAGACTCTTCGCGCAGATCTGTTAAAAATATGATGAAATACATTTAAAACAAGAAAGAATAATTTATATACCCTTGCATATCATTCCTATTAACTTACAAATCGCAAAAATTTTAAATTTCCTGTTATTTCACATTAATTTTTCGATCGTTTCTATGGCAGCTATATGATATAGTAGTTCGATCTTTTTAAAATTAAAATCGAAATTCGGAAATATTTAAAAATAGTCATATCCTAGAGTAGAAGAAAAACCAAAGAAGCTAAAATCTATTTCCTATTACTTTCCCATTAATCTTCCGATCGTTCCTATGGCAATTTTCCAATTTTTTAAATATTTAATTCGAAATTCAGAAATATTTAAAACAATATCCCCAGGAGTTAAAGGTAATATTTCAAAAAACCCCGAAGCTAGAATTTTTTCCATTATTTTTCCGATTTTTCCTATAGAAGCTATATAATACAGTTGTCCGATCCGGTCTTTTGGGAAAGTTTCATCCCGATAGCTTAAAAACTGAGAGACTAGTTTGCGTAGAAACGGACAGACAGACGGTCCGTCCGTCCGACGGACATGGCTAGATCGACTCGTCTAGTGATGCTGATCAAGAATATATGTACTTTATGAGTTAATTTTATATAGATTTAACTACTCACATCCAAGGAAGCCAGTTTGTTGATCTGATCAAAGATCAGCGACTTCAGCGGACTAACAACAATGGTCACTCCCTCGGTCAGAATGGCAGGCAGCTGATAGCACAGCGACTTTCCTCCTCCCGTGGGCATCAGGACGAAGCAATCGTTGCCCACCAGCGTAGCGTTGATCACCTGCAGCTGATTGGGACGGAAGCTCTTCAGACCGAAGCTGTAGCTTAATCCATGCATAAGGCGGGTGGAGTGCTCGAACTTTTGGCCATCGAACTCGCCGGTGATGCCGTCGTTGTGCACGTTGGAGTGGAAGTTTCCGGATAGCTTCTGGGAATTCGGAGCACTGGATAGCTTGGCTGGCGCAACACTTCTACTGCTGCTGGGGGCGGTACATAAAGTGCTGTTCTTAATTGCCGCCTGGGAGTGCATTTCCTCGAACATTGCCTCATCGTATTCGGGAAAGCCATCGTCATCCAGGGTAATATTTGTTGGCGCCTCCTTTGGCTTCTCCTTCACCTTCACAGACTCCAATTCCTTGTAGTTGTAGCCCTCGAACTCTGACCGACGGCCCTTCTTCTCCTGGTAATCGTTCTCAATGTCCGCCAAGAGGCCCTCCAAGTCATCATCATCGTCCTCATCCATTTCGCTGGCTGTGGTCCGCTGTGTGGGCCCGTTCATTTGCTCCTCCTCCAGGTCGCCGTCGAGCATCATGCTCTGGGCCAAATAGTCATCGGGTTCCTCGCATAAATCGTGAACCAATTCCTCACATTTTCGCATCAGATGCGGATCTTTCGGTGGGAAATCATCTGGCTCCCCGCAGAGGTCGTGAATGAGCTGCTGGCGTTTGGGTATCGAAGGTGACTGGCTGGGCGGCGAATAATCATCTGGCTCACCGCAAAGATCATGGAGGAGTTGCTGGCGTTTGGACATCGGTGGCGGATCAATCGGCTTGCTAGGAAACTTTTCTTCCTTGCTCTCCATGAGTTTACTGGGCGGCAAAACACGAAGAGTACTTCCTGGCGGGGTTAGACTTGAACCCATAAACCCAATCTTCTCCTCCTGCATTTCCATTTCCTCCTGCTCCAGGGCATCTTGCTCAGCCTTCAGTTTGCTCTCATTTTTCTCCAGTTGTTTCTGGAGAAGCTGCGACCGTGCCTTGAACTTTTGCCGCATTACCTTGAGCTTAATGAAGGTGTTTGGCTGAAAACCGGCGATTTCATTGAAATGCATGGCGGGAATCTGATCAATCAGTGAACAATACTTTTCCATAAGCTCTACGTAGGTAGAGCGAAAGAAGCTTAGAGAACTGCGCTGCGCTTCAACGCTTTGATTGTTGTGATCGATGCTAAAGTTGTCGTTCTGGGCCAAATTCTTTAGGTAATCATCCAGAGAATTGTCGAAAGTCACACTGAGTCTGGGCTTTAAAGGCGCTGGTGGAGGTGGAGCAGCAGCAGGTTTAGTTGGAAGAGCATTTTCTTTTGCCGAACCAAGTTTGTAGCCACTGCTTTTCTCTGGCGAATCCTCGAAGAGATTACTACTGCTGCCTGTTTTTTTATATGAAGCCCTTGGTGATTCGAGGAAAGTGGAAAGAGTGGGCTTTCTATCAGTCACTTGTGGTTTTTTAGGGGAATCCTCTATGATGATTTTGTCCCGGGAAGTCCTTCTCTCTGGTGGTTTCTTCGGGGAGGTTTTCTCTGCTTTCTTTGCAGGAGGTGGAGAATCGGGCAGCGTGAGAAGTGGGTGCCTTCCTCCATTCTGCTTGATTGGAGAGTCCTCGAAGGAGTACTTTTGAGAAGGCGAGTCCGTCGTGGATTTCCCTGGAGATTCCGAAAATATACTTAGTTCCGGTTTCCTGGCAGGCTTAGCAGGTGAAGGAGAATCCAACAGGGAAAAGGTTGTTTTTTTCCTTTCATTCTGCAGAGGTTTCTTTAGGTAATCCTCAAATGTTTGCTTCTCCAGCGGCGATTCAGATAATCCCCGATACGAGTGGCTGCTCTCACTCTTTGGCAGTAGTTTGGTAGGTGAATCTAGGTCAGATTTCCTTGCAATACGTGGACCTAGTGGCGATTCGGAAAGGTCGAAATAAGTGTGCTTCTTGACCGATTTCTTGGATGAGACAGTTTCCTTGCTGGATTGACTGGACCTCAGCGTAGATTCATCGTCGGAGGAGGAGGAGTCCAGAAAGATGGGATTGTAGACTGCACTAGGCTTGCTCCTCACGTTTGTCACTAAAATTAGGAACTATTAATTTCCTTAATTCACTCGAAATGCCCTGAAATACCTTTGCTCTTCGGTTGACTCTGGGAATTGGTATCCAGGCCAATGAAGCTGCTGAGTGTGAGCTGTTTCCTGGGCGCTGCGGGCTTCTTGGACATGACGACCTGCGATTCATTCAGCTGCCAGCGCTTAACTTTGCAAAACAACTAGTTAATAAATTGGTAAACAAAACAATTTAATACAGTTTGAGACTAAAAACCCGCGCAATTATGCCAATGGAAACAAATGCGAGTATGAATTAGTGTGACCCTGCGTTGACCTTTTAAATATACCAAAGGTTTTCAATAAATTTAATGATCAGTGATCTCAGATACGTTAGGGGGATTCCCTAAACTGTTGAATTGCTGAATTGCTGAAAATTCATCAAAAAATTTCAGCAATTAAGGGAACGACCCAAAAAGATTCCTGTTGAATTTTCAAATAGCTGTTATTTGTTGAAAAGTTTCACGGAACTTAAAGCATGTAAAATTTGATTTATTATTGCTAGTTACTGTCTAAAAGTGTTACCGAGGTAAAAAGAACCACAAATATGCTTTCTAAGTTGATTTTTAAATAAATAATGCGTACTGGTGATACTAAAATGTTACAGAGTTGCCACGACTTTTAAAAAAAGGTGACAACTCTGGCTTTTCAGCAATTCAACAAAATTTTCAGCAGCCCCGAGGCTGATGAATTGCTGAAATTTCTGAAAGTTGACTTTGTATGGAACAGCTGATTAACAGCTGACCAAAATTCAACAATTCAGCAATTCAACAGTTTAGGGAATCCCCCTGTTAGCTTTTATAATGTCGTGAAAATTTAATAATAATGATGGAAAAATTCAAATATTACGTAATCAAATTAAAAAAATTTAAGACTCGTTTTTAAAAGACTACTTTTAATATTTTTAACGTTTTTCTTTTCTAACGACAGAACTTATTTTCCATCAAATACAAAATAAGCCTAATTGATGAACAATATCCCAGAAATCCTTTTAAAATAAAAATTCCAAGTATTTGTTATTCTTAAAATTCGAATGAAAATATGGGAAGAAAGGAAAGTTCTTACTAATTATAGTTAGTTATTATTAATATACATTTTTTAAACAAATACTGTCTGAAAATGTCTATACAAATTACTAGTAGTAAATTATTTAAACAAAGAAAAATAATAATATTATAAAAAAGCGATAGCTACAGCTAGAAACTAGCGTGATTGCCAACACCCTCAAACAGCTGTATAGCGACATGCTTTCTGCTTCCTCTTGTTCCCTAGGTATCCAAACAATTCCAAACGTGGTAAATAGAAGCGCATATTTCCCAACTTTAGACACGAATAATTATGCACACGTGAGTATTTAATCAATCCATATTACAGCATCTAATCAAATCAATGATCTATTTCCGGATCTCCAACCGCAGGCATAACAACTTCAAGACCCCCTCCGACGAAGACGAACTGGATGATCTGGACGAGGACATGGTGGTGGGCGTCATAGCGGAGATCGAACAGGAGGTGCTGAATGAGTCCGATAGCGACAACGACGAGTACGACCTGGTGGACATGGGTGCTCCCGTTCCGCCGAACGATGGCGACAGCGACAGCAACGAGAGCATCAGCAGCGACGACAGCTTCGATCCGAATGCCGTGGACTCGGATTCGGATGATTCGATGCTGGAGGATGCGGCCGGTGGCTCCTCCGCCGGGGGAGCAACAAGTGCTAAGCGCCGCAAGGATGACCAGGATGGCCCATCGGGAAGCAACAGGGAGCCCGCGGAGGCCACTTTCGATTTCGATGAGGATGATGAAACGGACGAGACTGTACGCGCCATTATAGCCGCCATCAAGAAACCTCGCAGTGCTCCGCCCGAGATCAAGCTGGAGGACTTTATCACGGACATCTGCTTCCATCCGGATCGCGATATCATTGCCCTGGCCACCATCATCGGGGATGTGCACCTGTACGAGTACGGCAACGAGGAGAACAAGCTGCTGCGCACCATCGAGATTCACTCGAAGGCCTGTCGCGATGTGGAGTTCACCGAGGATGGGCGCTTCCTGCTCACCTGCTCCAAGGACAAGTGCGTCATGGTCACGGACATGGAGACGGAGAAGCTGAAGAAGCTCTACGAGACGGCCCACGATGATGCCATCAACACGCTGCATGTGCTCAATGAAAATCTCTTCGCCACCGGCGATGATGCAGGCACAGTTAAGCTGTGGGATCTGCGCACCAAGAACTCGATCTTTGAGCTCAAGGAGCTGGAGGATCAGATCACCCAGCTGACCACAAATGACCAGCATAAGCTTCTACTGGCCACCAGTGCCGATGGCTACCTGACTACATTCAACATTGCCGCGCGCAAGATGTACGTGCAATCGGAACCGTACGAGGAGGAGCTCAGCTGCATGGGCATCTATCGCGGCGACTCCAAGCTGGTGGTGGGCACCTCCAAGGGGCGGCTTTATACATACAATTGGGGCCAGTTTGGCTACCACTGCGACATGTATCCGGGCATCAAGAGCCCCATTAGCCTGATGATTCCCATCACCGATCGAATTGCCTGCGTGGCTGGGGAGGATGGAAACATTCGGGCCTGCCACATCGCTCCATATCGTAATCTCGGCGTGGTGGGGCAGCACAACATGCCCATCGAATCGCTGGACGTGAACACCAACGGAGAGTTGCTGGCCTCTTCCTCGCACAACAACGACGTGCGTTTCTGGAACGTCAAGTATTTCGAGGAGTTCGGGGACATCAAGTACAACGAAAAGCACAATGCCTACAAGGAGAAGCGTCACAATCTGCCCTCCTCCAAGTGCACCAATGCCGGGGACTTTTTCGCCGACCTGACCAAAGAGGATGACGATGATGATCCGGGCGCAGGAACCAGTAGTAACACAGCCTAGAGTGGATTATTTGCTAGCCAGGATTAATAGCTGTACTCGCTGGGTGGGTCGATTTCTTACATGTTTTCGTAATTTAAAACAAATAACTTCTAATCTAATCCCTTAGATTTAAATTAATTTTGTTTTTTTTAACTCCTTATTAAATATTTATGCTGTAGCAAATAGATAAAGAAAATTTTTAGAAATATATTAAATACTTATTTTGCCATAACATTTGATTGTACAAAAAATTGACCCATCCAGTTAACATAGTAGAGTGTTGCCTTAGAAACCCTCTCTTAAGACCATCAAATTGTAGCTACCGATCTATAACATGTTGCACGAAAGATTTTACACAAAGTAGCATATTTAAATTTCGCAATAAAGTGTTATTGATAATAAATAATGTCGCAGAATAGAACTGATTAAAGAAACATCCCAATAAGAAATAAACTTCATTGGTTTTATTTTCAAAGGGGTTAATAAAAAGCGCTGAAACGTTTATATAATTCGATTATTTATTTATTTCTGCCGTCTTGGACAACATACAATTTGGAAAAGTTTTAGAAAACTTTAATGTTAAAATAAAACCAATCTTATATTAGACATTATACAATATGTTAGCTCAAGCTTTTAAAAATTGCATCGAATCAAATCACTTATATGGCACGTTATGAGATATTGAGCAGTAGAGTCGGTTATTTTTAGTCATAATTATAATTTGGTAGTAGAATCAAATAAAATCCTACTTTGTTGTGACAAATAAAAACATAACAAGTATTGGAAAATAATTAGGGAAATCATTTAAAATATAATTTTAAAGTTATTATGAATTTCTAAGCTGCTTAAAATTTGGGTCCGATTAATTAAAAATATAACAACAAGCTTGGGCCAAAATAATCAATTACGCCCATCATGGGAAATTCTATACTATAACAATATACGCATATTTATGAAATTCTTATCACAAGAATTTTTTTTCACAAAACGTGGACAATTTGTACATATGTATAGGAAATAATTTGCCGAATCACTTAAGATACTTAGACATACATATAGATATTAAGCCAAACAGATTTAGCTTTTTGATATTTTTCAGCGCAACACGGCATTGCATGCGTTGCGGTGGGTTAAACATTTTAAGGTTTCGTATATAGTGGTTATTACGATTATTTCCTCAGTCTGGGGGAATTTTACATGAAGATTCCGTGCACACAATGTCATAAGGCGGCCGTATTGGCGGCATCTGTGACTCCACTGGCACTGGGTGCCATCGCATCGTTGGCCATATGGGTTTCGATGTCCACGCGACAAATGGGGCAGTGCTTGTTGGTCACCAGCCACTGATCCACGCAGTCCGTGTGGAACAGATGCATGCAGGGCAGGCGGCTGAAAGGGATTAATTAGAAATTTAAGTGCCTGGATATCACTAAGCTCGAATCAAACCTACCGCACTTCGTTCTCGATCTCAAAGAGGGTCAGACAGATGGCACACTTTTCCGCATCCTCGTCCGTCTCGCTAGGCCTCCTTACCCTTCGGTATTTGTGGGGTAGGGTGTTCCTTTCGATGGTTTCCTGAGATAAATAATATATATTAAAACAAATTAATACCCGTCACTCAGCTAAAAGGAGTGCGAGGGAGATGGATATATACAATTTTTTGATTGTGTATAACTTTTTAATGAATAGTCCGATTTGAAAAATGTCTTGTACATTTCGATAGGTATAAATATACACAACAAATTGCTTTTATACTTTTCAGAAATCTTAAAAGGTGTGGGCGCCAGACACATTTGAAAATTGTTAGTGGCCGTTAGAGGGGGCGTGGCGCTTGGCCGAAATAAACTTGCGCTGCGTAGGAAGCCCAAGAATATGTGTGGGAAATCTCAACCTTCTAGCTTTTGTAGTTTCCGAGATCTCAGCGTTTATACGGACGGACAGGCAGAAAAATGGATTTACTTACCAAAGTAGCTCCCCTGTTGGGACGCGGTGGTCCGATTAGAATGCGGGAGCCCAGAGAGAGCGGCGTGGCCAGTCCGATCTCCAGATGCAGCGGCGAATAGTGGTGGTGGAACATGTGGTGGTGGATGGCTCGCTGGCGCTGCAGGTGCTGCATAACCGGCGGCGATTGCTGCTGCGACTGCGGCGGCTGCTGTTGCGGCTGCAGCTGCATGTGTCGTGCACTAGCTGCTCCGGATGTGGCAGGTGCCTGCTGTTGCTGCGAGGGTGGCGGCGGTGGAGCCGCAGCAGACGTGGCAGCCTCGTAGGGCGGATAGTAGGCGGGATCCAGGCTGGAAACGGGACCGTTCCTGGCATGAACACAGCTGCAGATGCTGTGCAGGTAACCATTGCGCAAAGTGCTCGTCAGCAGCGGGGCATTCGAGGAGAGATCGATGGGCGTGGGCGTCATGTGGCGGCGATGCATCTCCTGCATGCTTTGCTGTCGATACCACAGGTTCTGATGCACTGGATAGGGTGGAGCGGGCGTTAAAGAAGTCGCCACAATGGCGCTGGCCCGATGGGGAGGATGAATGTGCGCATGCATCTGGTTCTGTGGCGCCTGGTGACCCTGATGCGGCTGCGGTTGATAGTGCTGTCGATTGCTATACGCCGCCTCCGAGCGTCGCACACTAAACGGCGGCGATCCGCAGTGCGGAATGGTGCTGCGACCCGAGTACATTTCCAGCGGCGGTGGCGGCGAAACAGCTGCCCCCGCTGGCGGATTGATGGTTTGCCGATGGTGCTGCTGCTGCTGTGGATGCACCATCACATGTGGCGGCGTTCGGTTGCCTTCCAAGGCAGCTGCCCGCCCTTCCTGGTGCGCCTGCGAGAGCAGATCACTGAAGGTTTGCGCCTGGGCCGCCGCCGCCGTGGCCGCCACCGCAGCAGCATTCAGGGCTCCACTTAAGGAGCTCCTACTGCTGCCGCCCTGACCGCCCTGAAAATGCGGATGAGGCTGCAGGCTGGGCGAGTAGTCCGCCTCCATCACAGTGGGCAGCGTGGTGATGGCATAGTGGGGCACATAGTACGGATGGTAGCGGTGGTACACGTTCGCTGGGCTGCTCCTCCTCCTTCGAGCCTGCTGCTGCTGCGAAGCTGCCTGCTGTCCGCTGGCGGAGCTGCTGGGCGTGGAATGGCGCAGGAAGGCATCAGCGGATGAGTTATCCGGCAGCAGGATCGGCGGTGGAGGCTGCGGAGGTGGCTGCGCCTGTGGATGACCCTGCATCCACATAGAGGACTCATTAATCGGAAGAAAGTAGCGCTGCGGATCCATGCTGGAGCAGCGGGGCGGATAGAAATGGCTGGCGGCGCCGGGATCCATCAGCTGATCCAACTCATAACTGTAGTTGTGATCCGAAATGGCCGCTCGATCCGCCAGAGCGCCGCTGTAAAAAGCAAAGGCCGAGGTGCCATCACCTCCATTGGCCTCCGATCGACGATCTGTCCGGCGGGCACAGGGCAAAGCGTAGGCATAGTTAAACACTGGTCTTCTCTCCTCACTTGGTTCCTCTGGATTGCGTTGGTATCTCTCCCTTTCGCGATCTCTTTCCTGCTCCCTTTCGCGACCCCTCTCCCTGTCCCGCTGTCCCGCCTCGTTGGCCAATCCATCGTCATCCGAAGTCAAGTCTATGGAGAGTATGGGCTCACGGGTGGAGTGCACAAAGACCACATCATCGTCATCGTCGTCCGATGACCAATCGTCCAGTTGCAAATCGGGAGCGGTTAAAACGACGGCATCGCGGCTGCCTCGCCTGCCCGTGGAAGTGGACGGTAGATTGCTGAGATCCACGGACGGCTGCCGCTCCCTCGGTCGTCCCACATAGGTGATTACACAGGATCCATTCGCATTTGGCGTGGAGGAGGGTGGAAAGGCTACCTGGCTTGGCGCTCTCTGCTCTGCGTAGGTGCGATGCCTGCTCCTTCCCGGATGAAATGAGTTGTAGTTCGTGGAGGACAGTTTGGAGCGCGAACGGCCGGGGATTTCCCAGCGCGGCTGCTTCCTGGGCGGCATGGCGGCTTCGTCTTGGAAGCGCACACGTCGCCAGGTCATCCCAGAATCTTCCTGCTCTTCAGAGCGCTGCTCCTGGTGATTAACCTGCTCTGACGGAAGTTGCTGCTGCAATTGCTGCTGCTGCTGCTGTTCCTGCTCCATTGTAGTGGACGGTGAACCCATGTGAGATCCCATGTGCGATCCATAATCCACACTGCGCGTGGTGTGGGTGGCCGTGGAGCAATACGCGGCTCGCATATATGTGCTATCCGGTCTTCGGCTATTGTAGTAGTTGTGATCCGTGTGCCCAGCCTCCTCCTCCGCCTCCTCAATGGATCGTTCTCTCCCTCCTCGTATAATTGTAACTGCCGGCTCAATGGGTGGAGCTGGATTATGAACACGCAGGTCCCAGCCATCGTCGCTGCTCTCGTTTTCCGGCTCCAAAGCTCTGGAGCTGCGGTAGGAAAAATGATTCACCTGCCGCCTCCTTGACTGCGCACTTGTGCTCGGCGTGGCATCGGCATCTGCAGCTCCTGCTGAGGAATTTTCAGCATCCCTCGAACGACTGGCCTTCTTCTTGTGCGCCTGCAAAGCCGACGTGGTCGTTGTGGTATTTGTCGTCCTCGTATTGGCAAACTGACCATGCTCCGTATCCGAGGCACTGGAAGTCACATCATCGTAGGCATTCGCAGCCGATGTCTCAAAAGAGCTATTGCTCAGCTGCAACTGCTGCGAACTGGAGGGCAGTTCGTAGACGACTGAGGTGGCATCCATGGCGTGCTCCTCCATGGCGCCGGCAGGCCAAGTGCCGCTAATGGAGGCCACCACTGCATCGCCAGCATTGTCGCCATCCTGTTCGATGTTCAGCGGTTCAGTCTTCTTTCGCTTGGGTCGTGGAATGGCCTGGTCAGGATTAGGTGGATTGGCGGAGGAGGACGACGAGGCCGCTGTGGAGGAGGAGGGCTGCTCTAGGTTGGATCCACCCTGGGTGGAGTCCGCATAGCGGGTGGCGTCACAGCGGCAGAGTCCGACCAGCGAACTGCACTTGTCGCAGCGCCCGGCCAGAGATTCGAATCCCGGATTGGTTTCGTTTCGACGTGGCGCCACCAGGGCGGTGTAAGTGGGCGGCGAATGAGTGAGGGCATGGTTATGATTCTCGGGACTGGACAGAAAGGGCGTCATCAGCATGTAGCTGTCCGAGAGTCCAGCATCCCTTTGCTGATTATAGTACATGGCATATTGGGAATCTGCAAGGGAATCTGAAGGATTAACTGGAACTATTTGGTGGGTTTAAGCTTACGGGTATCCTGACTGCCTGGACTGGTGGCCTGGACACTGCCGTACGGCATGGTGACCCTCGGCTGGTGGCGGACCTCCTCCTGGTCATTCTCCAAGCCATCCATTCTCCAAGCTCTTCAGTCAGTCGTCTAGTGGCTCAATGGGTCAACAAGGAAATGTGGCCGCGCACATAGGCCAAAATGTGCTGAAAATATACATATATATATTTATATAGGAAAATTGTATGATTTATGGGTATGAGAGGTTTAATTGCCTGATAAAGACCAGTTTGCTTTATTTTCCTATCCCAAAACAGACACAAAAACAAACAGTGGGTTAAGCACTTGGTCTCCAGTTTTCCCAGAAGATATGTAGAACTTTAGATAGTGCCAAAGTTCAGTTTGGTATATATATATAATATATAATAATGAACATATCTTTCCGCTGAACACAAAACCGATTTAAAGCCCTAATTGAAATTCGAAAACTGAAATTTTTTCTTTGCCTGTCAAATACACACTCTTTTGTCAGCACCAATTTTCCGTCGAACTTTTCATTGCCGTCAGCGGAAAATTCCTTTAACTTCTTAGGAAAAACAAACTAGCAGTTGGGAAAAACGCGAAAATTGGGCTCCGTTTCCAGGAACAGGGATGACGAGATTTTACACGGAAGCTCTAAATAACTTATTAGTTGTCTTATTAATTAAGTTCAGTTTTTTTTTAGCCAACGCAATAGGGATGAGTGTAGTATCGATATGTCGGCATATCGATAGGTAAAAGTAGAAACGAATTGATGCGGTTGTTTTTATTTTTTAATTTATAATTTTTAAAAAATTAGTTAATTTTTTATGTTTGTTTGAGGTTTATGAACCTTTGGCTTTAAATTTAATCAAAACATGAAAACAGCTGATCGACTGAGGGTAAATTGAGAACAGCTGTTCAATGATAACAAAAGCCTCAAAAAATACTTACCTCTATTATATTTTGAAGAATATATCCTTATCCTAACAATATTCTTCAGATATGTTCTGAATTGAAATCTCTATTTAAAACACAGGATTATGGATAATTGCAGCCGGAAACACTTGAGATAAGAAATCGTGGGCGGTGGGAGTGTGGGCAGGAAAACAGCTGCTGATGGGGAACAAAAGGTAGCTTAAATGCAATTCTGTTCGCGGGGGCGGGGGAGATTTTCTCTTCGCAGCTGCTGCCCTCAAAAATGCACAATCTGAACTTGCAAATAGGCAACTAATATAATCTCACGAAGTAACCATTTTGCCTGCGTAATTCCGATTTTATAACAGTTACAAAACGGAGTTGGAAAATTGACAGACTACTTTTTTCCGACGTTGCAAAAAACTTGCAGTTCGGCGATGGAAACGATACTATCGCCTACCTATTCGCCATTTCGGGAATTTAAGTTTTGCACAACGGCCACACTGTCAATTCAAAAGTTTTTAAACTCTGAAGATTAGCCTTTAAATAAAATAAACTTTTATTGTTCCCACATTTCTTTAATAAAAAAAAAAAAAAAAAAAAAAAAAAAAAGCCAAACTTTGGAAATTCTGAAATATATTTAGGGAGTTTAAATAAAAGAGCTTTTAAATTATAAAGGTACAGGTTTTATATAACTATTATAATCTAAAGGACATTATATAAATGTTTTTTAAGTTATGTTTTGCTATAAACACAGTGTCCATTAGTTTACTTTTCACACAAATATGGTATTAAATCCACAATGCTGGCCCATCATGGAGAAGACTTTTGTATTTTTCTGCGGGGGAAAATACGAAAGGATTCCAAAGAAATCTAAAAAGCGGGCATCGCAACTTTATTACCACAATCAGGACCAAGATCACTCGTACTCCTTTTTCCACGTAGAAAATGATACCAGAGCCTTCTTCATCACGGTCGGGAGGAGCCGGCTTCACCATGTGGATAGCTTTATGGTGGATGAAATGGGAAAATTCATCCGGAATGGAACATCCGTTTACGACTATTACACTACCATCGACTGCGTGTACAGAAAGATTCGTTTTCTTGAAAGACTGCTTAAAGATTGCTTGGTTAAGGAAAATATAACACAAACGAACACATCGTATTCTGAGATGATGGTTATACATTTTCCCGAATCGAAAGCTCCCACCTATACGGAGTCCTTAGGAGAAAACCCCATATATTTTAACTGGTTAATTTGCCTCCTTGGCCTATTTCTCCTGCTTTGCTGCCTGAAATAAACCCATTTCATATGCACAACACAAGGTTTAACATTTTATGTATTTTGCGTTTTTATTGAGTTTTTATGTATAAAACAATATCTACTCTTCCTTTTATTGCGGGCTTCGTATTCCTTTCTCTTGGCTTTATTTTCTTCAATTTTGTATAGCAATAATTTTAAAACAAATTCTTTTCATACAAATTTTTATTGATTTAATCGGTCAGCTAGTCAATTATTTGAAGGACTCTCCCCCGGTCTCTCGTTGGTGTTCCACTCACTCCTCGAAAGCAGCGCTGATCAGTGTTAACGACTTAAGTTTACCCATTGGCTTAACGGACATTTTCTAAACCAAGGTGGTGTTTTTATTTGAGTGTAGTTTTCTTTTTTTTTATCATATTTTCAGCAGCGCTGCTCGTCAAATTAACTCATAGTTATTTTTTTTTGTTTCGTTGCGAAACATTCCTCACAGTTTTACAAACAAAACGAAAGCGATAGTTTACACCTCAATATTTCAGTTTCAATGCAACTTTGATTGCTTCTGTAGGAATCGATTGCATGAATAGTTTAAAATTAATTGGACGCTGTCGTTATTATCATTATTAAATGTTCAAAACTTTAACCGAACTCAAAACGAAGCCGTCGGCAACATTTTCTCAGCTGCGTTTTGAGCTAAAATTATGAACAATAAGTGTTATATTATTTATTTTCATAATTTCTTTTCTTGCTTTTCGCTTTTATTAAGTTCTTTGTTTTTTTTTTTGGAAGTTTTTAGTATAAGTTGCTGTTGGTTTTGGAAAAATAGAAGTATTGGTGTGTTGTATGCACTTGACATTGATTTCGTGGGACGTAAACAAACAAAGACTGTGGAAAATGTTCCTTCTCTGGCGGCCTTATCAGTAGCTAGAAGTGGTTGTTGATGGCACAGCGTCATTTGATAGATAGATTTCTTCAGGTGCATTTACATTTACATTTTATATCACAATTTTTTAAATATTATAGGTGTATGTATTTAACAAAATTGGTTTGCATGTTTCCCTTTCATTTACGCCCAGCAAAAAAGGTTGAGCAACTTGCAATGTCAAGAGTTTGTTAGCTTTTTGCCCAGTGTAGTTGGCCATAGTGTGTGTCGTGGGTGTTAAGTGTAGAGGAATTTTCGGGGGGCTTAAAAAAATATATCTTTCAACGATTTTGGAAAGAAATAACTTTCGACGGGCAAGTTTTTCCAAGGAAATGTCAGATACAATTCACCTAGTAAAGGGCAATTTCTTTGAAAAAACTTCACCAGCTTTTAGTTGTGTTTAAGTGTAAATTTCGGGTCAAACTAATTGGCGAGACACTCGAAGTTTGGACAATTTAATTGATTTTTGTAAACTCAACGTATTTTTGCTGCCCGCTTCTTTTTCTCTTCTTCTTTCTTATAACAATTTTTGTCATGAGAAATAAAAACATACTATACAAATTTTTAACAATTTTTGTTGTACATTTTGGTATTTTGGAACGGGGCGTTTAAAAATGATCATCATTTCGATTTTCGACTCAAGAGGCATGCAATAATTTTTTCAAGGATTACTTAGGATTTCATCAATTTCACCAAAAAAGAACAGAAAAGTCTAAAATGTTTTTTATGCATCTCTTGATCAAACACTTTTCGTATTCGTTTTTATTTTTCACAATAAAAAATTATACTGCAATATAAATTACAATTTTTCGAATCTTTTTTATAAAAAAAGGTATTTGTTTTCTGTTGTTGTTTTCATCTCGAACGACTGTTTGGCTTGCTTCAAAACAGCGTAGACAATTGCCACTCTCGCTTTTTCTCCTACCACAATGTTTTCTTCACTCTTATTTTTTTTTTGTGTTTTTTTTTTGCATGTTAACTCTGTTTGCAATGGGGGGAATTAATTGAATTGAAATTGTTTTCGTACACTTTAGCTTGAAATGTAAGTGAGTGCTTGAAAAAAGTGCACCAAAAAAGAATCATAGAACTGGAAAATTGATTTCTAGAGAATGTGCGTGAAAAACAGAGTTATCTGTCGAAAAATAAACCGACCTATCTATCCACTAGCGGTGGCCGGCTCGCAGTACTCGGACAGATCGTTGGCCCGCTGCTGCTGACGCAGGCGCCGCTGGAGCAGAACGCTCTCGCTGGGCGGCGACAGGCCGATCCGCATGTCCGGCAGCTCCTCCATCAACTGGGCCGCCTGCAAATGGGCAAAGCGACCGCTGCCAATGCGAGGCTGCTGCTGGGCCCGCTTGTGTCGCTGTTGCTGCTGCTGCTGCTCCGACTGCTGCTGGTTCATTCCGCAGTTGCGGGCATAGACGCAATCCTGGCGCCAGTTGCGGATCGTCGACTGCTCATCGGATGGCGGGGAGCCACCGCTGCTGCTTCCGGCGCTGTTGTGCCGCGGAGGCGGCTGCTGTGGCGGCTGCATCATCGGTGGCAGCATCGGTGGAGCAATCTTGTAGCCAGCGGCACCGCCGCTGTGCGAGAAGCTGCCCAGGTAATTGCGCTGCTGGTTGCCCGTGTGGCCACCTCCGCCTCCGGTGCTGAAGGGCGGACGGTACTTGCGGTAGCCCGCGGCCGGCTGCTGTTCCTGCGAGTGGGAGTGAGTGCGATAGCGCCAGTTCTCCGCCTGCTGCTGCTGCTGCTGCTGCCTTGAAGGAACTGGATCTGCAGACTGGTAGCGCGGCACAATGTACCGCTGGTGCTGCTGTCGCTGCTTCCTGGTGTAGGCATTGGCAATGGAAGGCAGCGGCTGCTTGCGTTGCTCGCGCAGATCCTCCTCCTCCTCCTCATCCTCGTCGTAGTCGTCGTCCTCGTCGATATCGGCATCCTCGTCGTTCTGATATGCATCGGGAGCAAAGTAAACACTGCGGCCGGCCTTGGATTGGGTTGGAGGCTTCATTTTCTCCTCCTCCTGCGCCACCGCCTTGCCAAAAGTCGTTCGCATTGTTGTCCCCTCAGCAGCAGTCGTCGTCGAATCATTTTCCTCTGGCTTATCGGTTGGTGGGCATGTTGCTGATGCTGCTGCTGCTGCTGCCGCTGAGTTGACAACAATATTTGCAGTCTCATAAATTTCAGGTAGCTTTTCATTTAAATCACTAATACTATCCAATAGTTTAACATCATCATCTTCATTCGCATCGCCAGTTTGCCAGTTGTTAATGTGTGTCGTAGTCATAACTGGTGTTTGCTGCTTGTTATTATCGGTGATGGTAGTAGCACTAATATCACTTGATGGTCCTTGCCTCTTGGCCCCATCAACATCATCCTGCTGCTTCTTATCCTCCTTCTCCTGCTGTTTCTCCTCCTCCTCCTGCGCATCTTTGCGCATTGTGGTGAGCTTAGCAAATTCGCTTTGCTGGGTTGTTTCCTTCGTATCCATATTATCCATAATAAGTTCATCCTTTTCATACCCACCGTTGTCCTGCTGTGGCTTCGATTTCTCCACATTGGTCTCGCCAACTTGCTCCAGGTAAGCTTTTGATAGCTTCAGATTGTCAGCTTGTTTATCCTTCTTCTGCTCTGGCTCCTCCTCTTCGATCTCCTCCTCCTCCTCCTCCTCGACTATATCGTCGACGCGTTGCTGCTGTTGCTCGTACAGATAGTCATCGCCCTCGTCCTCGTCCAACTCGCGCCAATAATGCTTGTAGTGCTGATAGTCCTCGCTCTCTCCATCCTCCTCCTCCTCCTCCATGTCGTCGCCATCGCTTCCGCTCTCCCGCCTGTAGTGGTGACCCTCGCCCAGCGCCTCCCGCTGCTGCTGCAACTCGCGCTGCTGCTGAGCCCACTCATCATCGTCGTCGTCAATGCGGCCAAAAGCCTCCAGAGCCTCATCGTCGTCATCCTCCTCGTGCACGTTGAGTGTCTTAAAGCCCCCGCTGTTTGGGTAAATTGCCGATGCATTGCGAGAGACATTCCGCGAGGACTGACGGCTACTGGCCCGCGGTCCGTGCATCGAGGACATGCGTCCGCCGTAGCTGCACATCGAGGTGGCGGGATTGCGCTGCGAGCGATTGCGAGTGTAATGAGCCGGCGGCTTGGGATTGTAGTTCTCATCGCTGTAGGCATCCATGTAGGCCTGCGAAGGCTGGTAGATGTTCGGACGCTCCTTCATGTAGTCGTAGCGCATCGAGAAATGCTGCAGGACCACACGCTTGACGGCCATGGCCGATTCGGCAAACTGCGAGATTTCCCTCGCCGACTGGTGATTGCTGCAGGGAGGAATAGAAAACCTAATTAAATCTCTGGAACTATTGTAATCATTTCTTTCTTAATTACCGTCGAATGTTGCTGGGCGTCTGCAGAGCCTTGTGGCGACCCGATTGCTTGCTGGCCGGCGGCTCGTGCTCGCTCGCACGAATCCAGGTGTGATTCAACACTGCCTCGGCACTGAGGCGATCGGAGGCCTGCTTGACCAGCAGGTTGGAAATCAGGTCCTTGGCCTCATCGCTTACATCGTGCCACTCGGCCTCCGGAAAGGAAAAGTGTCCTAAAGAAATAGAAGAAAATTATTATTGTCATCAGATTAATTTCTTAATATTTAAAAATATTGTAACGATGATATTTTTTATTGAAACAAAACATCAAAATAATATTTGATCAAATAAAAACACCTCTTAACGAGGTAAAAAACTAGTGACGACCGCACCTTCAACATACAAAAGTTCTGATATCAACATTTGTGACGAAAAATTATTACACTCGTCATTAAATAGACTTTCTAATATTTTCTCATTCGGCCCGCCCTAGCAAACTATTCCAACCTTTTTCCCTTCACAGGCATTTTCTATTGCAGCGTGCCGAATGAGAAAATATTAGAAAGTCTATTTAATGACGAGTGTAATAATTTTTCGTCACAAATGTTGATATCAGAACTTTTGTATGTTGAAGGTGCGGTCGTCACTAGTTTTTTACCTCGTTAAGAGGTGTTTTTATTTGATATCAGAAGTTTTTGTTTGTTTACTTTTGCTCTCATAGGAGCTAATATATACATTTAAATTTAAATTGGTCAATCATAATTTTTAAACTATTGTATTTTAACAAATTGAGTTAAAAAGGCGTTGAAGTATTTCAAAATACCTTTTAAACGAGGTATAGCACATGTCTGTACCTTTAGTAGTGTAGAACTTACAAACTAACGAAATTTAGCTATTTTTAGCTCTTTCCCGCTAAAGTAGCGGCTTTTTCCAAAAGTCGTAGAACAAAAGATTCCTATATGGAACTCTTAAGTGCAAATTTACTGATTCCATGACCCTAAAATACAGTTCGGATACCCTCCCACAAAATTCAATACTCAGGGAGCGTTAAATGTTCGAGCTGGCAACAGTGGCTATTTTCGTATAAAAATAACTATTAAACGTGACTTTTTACAGTAATGTGTTATATACCAAAATTTAAGGAATCTCAAGGGCTATACAGTTTAAGGTTTTAAAGAAAATCGTTAGAGCCGTTTTTGAGAAAAATAAAAAAAAGCTAAAAAAAAAGTTTTAAAAAATTGTCTTTTGTTCATATTTTTTTAACTATTACATTTACACAAATTGCATATAGAAGGCGTTTATAGCATTTCAAAATACCTTTCAAACGAGATGCAGCATAAGTCTGTAGCTTTAGTAGTATAGAAGTTACGGCTTTCCGAATTTTAGCTATTTATAGCTGTTTTCCCGCTAAACTAGCGAGTTTTTCCAAAAGTGGTAGAACAAAAGTTTTTTATATCGATGTGATGAACGTCATATCAAATTTTCAGAACTTAAAAAACATGTTTTGGACAAGTGGACAAGTGGACAAACAGAATTAAATTTTCATTTTGGGAAGAAGAAGAAAATCTTATTTTGGCTATAACTTTTGAACGGAGCGTCGGATTTTGACAAATGACCCCTCATTCGACGGGTATTTTCAAAAGGAATACAAGTAAATCATTGCGAGGGGGCATTTATCCCCACCGGCCCCAACAGCTCCAAATTTCTAAATTTTTACTTTTTCACTTTCACCGCTCTCTCTCCCAATCCAATTGATTTTCTTAAAGTCTTGGTATGCAATCCTTTAAGTTATTGCAATACCTTTCGATTGGTGTATCATTCATTATGATCGGACCATCACACTAGATTTTCATTTCTTCGTGTATATATAGTAGTCGCCTTCGCACACTCTCCTGGTGCGCTTCGTCACTACATGGACTGCCGTCCATAGTGATATATCAGAAAAGATATATCTATGTATATATCAGATATTTTAGATATTTTTGTTTTATTTTTATTATTTGTTTTAATTTTAAGCTGCACAAGGCGGTGTACTTTATTATAGCGTTCTATCTTGTTTTTACTGCGTTTTCTTGGATTCTGAATGCTATGCTATGCATTTTTATTTTTTTGTATTTTATGTATTTTTCTTGTCCCGATAAAAAGTGAAACCACTTAAAATTATCAAAAAAAAATGTGCAAAAAAACGATGATACCTGATAATTATTAATTATATTATCAAAAATCGATATATTAATATTTTGATATATTTTTGACATCCCTATTTCTTAATTTATATTTGAGGGTAAAACCTTTACGAACCTTCTTGAATGGACTCGAAAAGCAGCTCCTGGCACGTGCGACAGTTTTCACCGCGATTCCAGCCGCAATCCTCGCCGCAGTTGCCCGAAAACGGTGGATAGCCGCAGAGCAGGATGTAAGCGATGACTCCCAGGGACCACAGATCGCACCTTTTGTCGTAGTAGTGCGCCTCACCCACAAACAAATCGACCACTTCCGGGGCCATGAACTCGGCGCTGCCAACCTAAAAGGGAAATTAAGATTCCATTTAATATTTATAGTAAAAAAGAATTAATTAAATTCCAAAACTCACTGGTGTCAATAGCTGGGGCGTGGCTGCTGGCGACGAGATGTCCGTGGTGAACTTAATCCCCGAACCCAGATCAAAGTCGCAAATCTTGATCGGGCAGAGCGAGTCCGTCTTGACGCACAGAATATTCTCCGGCTTGAGATCACGATGGGCGATGCCCTTCTTGTGCAGAAAATCCAGCCCGGAGGCGATCTCCTTGATTATCTGCGATGCCTCGTGCTCGGAGAAGCAAATGTGCTCCTGGATGCGCGTCAGCAATGGACCGCCGTTGATCTTCTCGAACACCAGGTAGAACTTCTCGTCATCCTCGAAGAACTCGATCAGTTGCAAGATGCCCAAATGGCCCTGGCAGTGATGGAATGTCTCCACTTCGCGAAAGACACGCGCACGCGCATGTCCCGGTATCTTATCGATCACCTTCACGGCGTACTCCAGATCGGTGTAGATGTTGACGCAAGTTTGCACCGATGCGTAGGCTCCCTCGCCCAGAATCTCGCCAGTCAGCTTGTAGAGCTCTAGGGATACAAAATACAATTTTAGAATTGGATCTCAATGGATTTACTCCAAATGAATACCCACCTTGGAACGTTGAGGAATGAAGGGAGGAACTAATGCGTTTCTTTCGCCTCTTCTTCTGCATCTCCTCCTTGTGCCTGTTCAGCTCCGCCTGCCGCTCCATTTCGGTCATGTTGGGCGCCTCACTCGACTCATTGCCCGACACATCCTCGCTGCTGTAGCGCGTCAGCTCATTCTGCCCGTCTGTAAAGTAACGCAAATAAACGAAATATCGTTAGATAAATTGTCAAATTCAACATACAACCTAACATTTAACTCCAGAACTTGAACTACAACTGGGGATCAAAATATAAAAATAAATAGATAATATTTCCCTCAAAACTTTCAGTATTATACAAGAAAAAATGGACCAACGCGAACATTAAAGCCCGCCCAATTCGTTGACACGTTTTTAGTCATCAAAGTAAAATAGCTAGCCGGTGATTCACTAAAAATATTTCGCAATTCTCTATCTGTGGGCAGTAAAAAACAAAATATGTACATCACTTAAAGAAACCATTTTTAATTATTTGAAAACTAATTAGGGTTTAAGTTCTGAGATATTCATATTATTTATCCGCTCAAACCCTTAAGGTTCTGCATTTTAGCTGGTAGTAAACGGTTAGCACAATACTACAAAACGATCGACTCCATAAGTAGATATATATGGGCTTTCGCTTTTTATCGCAATCGCTCGCCATATTTGCATGCCTATTTTTTCTGCATTTATCAATTTATAAAAATAATAATGAGGCGGGTATTTAAAATAAGAAATACTCGTACTTTTGCACTAACTGCGTAGAAAGCAAATCGCGTGTCGTAAACAACAAGTCGCCGCAAGTGTGCATAAATATGTAAAATTAAATAATGTGTAAACAGCCGCAAACAGGCCTCTCTATATAGAAAACTTCTGGATGGAATTGTACAGAGCTAGTAGCTCTGGAGCTAATCCAAAGCCTGGTGGAGAGATGGAGGATCAGAGGAGTTGGGGGGCTGAGGACTGGGGACCGGCGATCAGCTTGATTGGGAATGTGTGTGGTTGTGCCTGTTCTTCAATTGTTGTCAATAGCCGGACGACTATTTATAAAGCCCTCAAGGGGCTGCACCAAGGCGGTATCTGTCCGAAGATCTGGCTGAACGACTAAAGACCTAATCAGCCTGGAGGCACGTCGCATTGCAAATAAGTATCGCTTCATTGGAGAGCAATTGAGTGGAGTCAACTACAGTGGATATCGGTTGAGTTAAAGGGACTTTAAAAGATTTGAAATTCCTTCATTAGTTTTTTCTGTTTTTTCTAAAAGTTTTTGAAGGTACAATGGTTACGTTAGGTTAAAGGGACTTTTAAAGAGCTGAAAATACAATTTTTTGGCATTGTTTCTAGTTTTTAGTTTTTTAGTTTAGTTTCGTTTTTAGTTTTTTCCTAAGGTTTTCAAAGTCACATCTCCACAATGGTCATATTTTTAACATTTTTATGTAATATTAACAGTGTCTTAAATACTCCATAATTTATCGACCATATGGTTGGAATTTTCAAAGTTTTAAAATGCATTCAATTTATTATTCTAAACTAAGCTAGAAATAAACCCAATATACCTATTTCTAGCTTTCCATATTCACTGTACAAGAAAAAGGAGCATATTTCCATATCAGAAATAGTTATAGTAGCTCCTAACAAATAAATAAGTCGTTGCCCTGTAAAATTCAATTCTGAAACTGATCATTATACCAGACGTTTATCAAACGTCCATGCAACCTCGAGCGGTCCTCCCCCTTGCGACCGCCCACACTCTTCCGATTCCTCGCACGCTTTCCGTCTGTTCTAAATTTAAAATTTGGCCTATTTGTTGGTCAGCTTTAATTGTTATCAATTGCGTAAATAAACGCCGAGACAACAAAAAACAAAAAGAGGCAATTTTGCATTTCTCTTGTTTATCGCATGGCCTCTCTCGTTCTCCCTGCCAAATATTCTGCGCATTTAATTATGATATTTTCGCCAAATCATTTCATTTTGATGGACGATAAACGTGTGTGCTGAAGACGTATGTATTATTATTTAAATTGCATAAACAATTTCCGCAGTTCCGGCACAAAATGTCTGGGACTGTCGGCATAACACATCATCCGATCCCTTCAGATGCAAGTCGATAAGGTGATGACGACAATGGGGATTACATGAAATGCCCTTAGAATATTTCGTCAGCGGCTAGACAAACGCGTTACCGACACAAACCAACTTATGTAAAAGAACCTGATACGAATGAAACTCACTAGCAAGTGAAATATTTTCCATTGTTTGCCGGCCGGCTTTTTAATTTCATGTTATGTATTTTCCCATTCAGTTTTCTAATTTTGGATAAAATCAAAATATGTATGAATTTAGGTCACCACAAGAAGAACAAATTTAAACAACTTAAAAATTATGTTTTTGGTTTCAAGATCTGAAGAATTCTCGAATTCAAGAACCTATTCTCATTCAAAAGCTTAGAAATTCAACCGAGATGAAGGACACATCTCCACAGGTGAAAAATAAAAACAAAAGCAAAGAGATAACACAAAACTGAAAGCAAAACAAGAATCGAAAGCGTCTAGTGAAAACCTTGAGAAATTTCAACGTTTCGGCTTTGGAGCAAACATAATCGAAGGCAAGTGCCATAATAAGTTATCAAATGTGTAGGTAGGAAACGCAAAACACAGTGGCCACACGATTAGCGAATAAACAAAAGGCCGCCGATAAGACGGGCGAACTACGCAAAAAGCGAGCAAAGCAAAAGGTTTGCTTTTGGCACTTAACTTTGCCGTCGTTTGCCGATTTCAATTCAAATATAAGCAAAGCAAGGGAAAAGGGAGTGGGAATGGGGAGCAGAAACAACATGCGGTCGCACATGAAGAGCTTTTAGTAAATAAAGAGAGAGCAGCGGAAACGAGAGAGTGGGAGTGTGGAAGAGGAGGATAAGGTGGGTCCGTCTCTCCCACTCTCTCTGGCAATATTACTTCAAGGCAGGGTGAAAGTGCGAGAAGGGGCACGATGTATAAATTCCCAATTAGCAGTGCTCAAAATATGCAAGCTGTGACGTCAGAAGCTGTTATCCTGTTCAGGGACGTTTTCTCATCTGCATGTTAAAGTAAAAGTAAGGTTTAAAATTCAGAAAATGTATGGAAATTTAGAATTAAAACATAACATGCGGTCGAAAAAAGTCTATTTAGATTTTTAGAAATTATTTTTTGTTATTAATTTTTAGAATGCAAGATTTGTTGATTTTTTAATGGGATTTACATGTTTAATTGTAGGGTTTTCTAAGGTTTTTATCCGTTTGTCCCTAAAAATAGATAGATTTGCAATGTAAAATTTTCCTTTAAAATTGTCTGGAAGGTAAAGAGTTGCTCCCCCAACTTGCTCTTCATTTTTAAAGCCACCTTCTTCTTTTGCCAGCATGAATTCACGGGCAGAAGCACTTACACATATGCACACACGTACGCTATCTGAAAGCGTGTGTTTGTGTGCTGTAAAGAAGCAGAAAATTATTGCGCAGCAAATGAAATTGTAAAAGCGAAAAAATGTTTGAAAATGGCGAGAGACCCCGAAGAACATAACAGATAAAACAATAAAAATTTAAATATGTATGCGGAATTAAATTAGGGAACAACCAAGTGGGGTATTATTGTTATTACTATAGTTATGCTTCGACAAGGTCGCTTTAAAGTGTTATCTTTACCGTTACACTTTAATTACAAATCAGTTTCGTTAAGACAATGGGCAAGAAAACAGTGTAATAGATACAGGCTGTAAAATATATAGCGGAAAACTTGTTCGAACAAAAACAATAACAAAAATGCAAAAACCGGCATTTCGAAACGATTCCCCCCACACAGATGCACATGCGCCGCCCCTGTGGGTGTGTAAGGTGAGTAAGGTGAGTGTGTGTGTGAAAGTTCTCTCATCTCGTTCCTAGACTTTGTTGCTATTCTTGTTTTTGTATTTACCCAACATGTTTGCTGCCGCTGTTGTTTTTATTTTTGTTGTTGTTTTAGATGTTGTTTTTGCCGTTCGCCTTTTAATCGCAACGCAATTTGTCTAAGCAACGCCCGTTCTGCTGCTTGTTCTTCTCCTAGGCGGCACACGTTTTTGCAATGCGTAGATAAAACCGCCTGCTCTCGATATTATATTAGTTTCGATTTAGTTTAGTTTAGTTGCTTGTTTTTGGGCTAATTTTAACCCTATTCCGGTTGGATCATCTTCTGCGCACTCCCTTTTTCCAGAAACCGCCCGACGAAAACGAAAACAACAATCTGAACGATGGATTGTTAATGGTTATTTGGGATTGGAAGCACACGGAAAGTTTTCAGATTAAATGGCCGGGGATTTCGAGTGTGTGTGTGTTTAGTAGTAGTACCGGCGACTTTGGAAAATTCGGGTGCGCGGCGAAAACCAATTGGCCAAAATAGTGAATTTGAAAGAAATGGAAAAACACGGACAAATCTTGCGGACCTACGTCGCGCGGCGCCAACGAGGAAAAAAGAATCAAATTCAAACACGCGCCCGCTTTCGTTGGAGCGACAAAAACCGAAAACTACCGCCGTGCGAGAGCGAAGAGAGCGGCTAAGAGAGCGGCCGAAAGAATCCAAACGAGAGCGAGAGTTGTTGTAACGAACGGGACAGTGGCGGTGGAAAGAATAGTTCCCTTAATAGGGATTTAAATTTAATATTTCCTCTAAGTAATTCTTAATATAAACTAGATAAACACAGAGTACTGTAACATATTTTAATTATTTGAATTTCATGAAAAACTATTATTGTGGCCCCTGGTGTATGTAAATTTATGCAGCCAGTGCGAGATAGCATATCACGATTTGCAAGTGCTAAGCAGCCAAAAATATATCGCTTCGCATAGCACAACGAAAACAATAACACGAGCTTTTGATTACAAACAACAAATTAAAAAAAAAAAAAAACAGCCCGGAAGAGAAACGCCTCTGGTTGCAAAAATCCGGTTTCAAATCGAATGCAAAAAGCAATTACCGGCCATGTTTATTCATATCGAGAGTCCGATATATAAACTCATATTTGCCGAGAACTCGATTTCGAAAAGAAAACATTAGCTTGGCCGTTTGCCGATCGAATTCTTGGCTTTCGAGGAGGGTCAATATTGGTACACTAGTTTACGCCGGATCATCGGAATATGGGTATACGGAGGAACCGATACCTGTGTTATCACACACAACCTGGCCAACAGGCCCACGCACACCGACACATGTGCGGCGTCGGCGGAAAAGAGAGCGAAGATAAAGCCACATCATTGATTGGACACAGAACCAGTTTTGACAAGAAGTAGCTTTGTGGTTGTGGTCGCCCCGCCGCAAGCAAAACAAAAACAGCAACAGGAAAAACAATAACAAAACAAATCGACGGCCCAAAGAGAGCCAGCGAGGATTAAGAGAGCGGCACTGGAAAAGACCGGTGCGCGAGAGAGCCTTACATGATGCAATGCGTTCCATGTAATCACTTAAATCCCATCCATAAAGCTCTTGCAGAAAGAGAGCGCAAAGTGCACAGGAAAAAAAATTAATATTAAATATTGCTTTAAATTATTTTGAACTAAATCACCACCACTTTTAACAATTTAATTTAATATTGATATTATTGTGACAGCGCCGGGATCAAAATCCCTAACTTTTAAGTAACTTTTTTTTCAGTGTAGAAAGAGAGCACAAACACAATGTGTTTTGGAGTGCGAGAGCATGATGCCGAATCGCACGTAGGCCGAAAATGTGGTGAAGGGGAAAGAGGGATGCGGGGGCGAGAGAGAGAGACTCCAACACCAGCGCAGCATGGAAGGTAGTGTGATGTGTGCGCAAGTTCTGCTTAAAAGCAAACAAGTGGAAAGGGCAAACAGCAAAACAAAAACTACATTTAACTTGCTTTGTTTTCGTTTTTGCACAAGTAAACAACAACATATGCCTTTGGGGTCTGTTCAGCTGACGTTTTTTCCTGCTGCGGTGCGGCATTGCCAAAGCTAAAAAATACATTTCTCTCGCAGGGCTTTTGCGCAAGAGAGAAAGAGAGATGGGATGTGGATGGGCTGCTTTTATGAATCGGAGGCTGCACGTAGGCACCTACTGGCCGTCCTCCAAAAAGTCTAGATAGAATGGGAAACTTCTTGATAATAGTCGGTTGTTGTTAGACTCTAATTGACAGCTTTTTCCACTCAGTCGATTGCTGTAATGGTCCAAACGAACCCATTGCCTTTTCCCCATTCCCTGCATTCGCAACTGTAATCCTCTCCAGCAAACTCTTAATGGGAGCATGTGTGGGAGGCCGCTCTCATCGCTGCCTCCGCTTTGGCCAGCTCGTTCCGTTCGTCTGCTTTGGCCCGTCGTTCTATTTTGGGCTGCAACAAACGTCACCAAGTGCAATAAACGTCATGAAGGTTATACTCGTTTTATGTGTGGCCTGCAGCTTTTGGAAGTTTGTTCACATTTCGCCGTTCGATGCATTTTGAGCACGACTACGTATAGCGTATACCCATACCAGTAAACCCAGAGTGCATGGCGCTCAATCGATCAGCTCATGACTCATTTTCCATTTCCATTAATTGCCTGCACACGCTCAATTTCTCGGTCTCGGCTAGCTGGCACAGATACTCGTGCCGTCTCCCTCTCTTTGTTTCACCGCCTGGCAGCTGCTGCTCTTCTTTGGTGGTGGTGGTGTGGTGTTGGTGAAACAACAAAAAACCAGGAACTCCGAAGCTTGGAATACCCTTGTGCGGCGACTATTCCAGTGGAATATGAAGAATGGAAGTTTTTTTTCATCATAATCCTAACCATCCTAGAAAAATCCCGTTTACGAACCAAGAACCCTACATGTCAAAGGTTTTTAATAGTTTAACCACGAATTATTCCTATTGGACAGCAATCTGTGAAATTTTTTTCGATTATTCTCTAAAACAGCACAGTAAATTCCCATTTAGAGGTATAACTACTAAGATATTGTGTTCCGACCAAATCTGGACTATTTACGCACTAATCTGCCAAGTTTCATAAGATTATCTTGACAAAGCACACACACAAAAAAATTTGCTTGGTAAAATTGACCAACAAAGTTAGTTACGTAACTATTAAAATAGTTACGTGTATTTTGTTTTTGCTTTGGGTTTGTGTCTTTGCTAATGGTGTGAATTTTGTTGTTGTGAAATGACAATTTACTTAGTAGAATTGACAATTTTGCTGGTTGGGGCCTGTTTGACAATTATTACAGTTGATTTTACCAAGTTTTTTTTTTGTGTGCACAAAGAAATGGCTTGACTACTGAAGATACATTAGGTTAAAATGGTTCTAGATTCTGTATAAATGTTTTTAAAACAATTTAATGGTTTTATCACTATGGCAGCTATAGGATGTTAGTTTTCCTACCAAATCTGGACTCTATTAACATGAATTTGTCAATTTTTACTAGTTACTAATAAACTGAAATTGGAACCCTTTCTAAATATCTTCTCTATCACTTTATCGGAAAATGGAATTACCTGTTAGTAAGGAAAGCTCTATAATTTAGTTAGCACTAATAATACCCTCGGTTGTGGTAATAAAATCCAGATGCTGGAATACCCTTTCGAATTGGGGCACACACATTACATACATTACGCTTAATGGCATCAGTCGCATGATGCAATGTGCTTCTCTGGGCGAAACAAAACAACTGTAAACACCCCACATATACTGTTAGTGCGAAGGAGGGATGGGGAAATGGGAGGAGGTGAGGGGGTGGTGGGTTAGCCGCCGGCAGGCAGACAACATGCATGTTCTCGAACTTTTTGTGACGTCAAGGAAATACACTGGTGCTTAGTTTGCCCCAGTCAATGCTCCCTATTTCGCTCGATTGATTAGCAAGGGTAAACGAAAGTTCTGCTTGGCCCAGCTTTGCCGATAACTAGAAAAAGAGAGACTGGAAGGGGGAGTAAACCCTTGGATACTGATTCTCAACTTATGGTAGTCTTTCAAAATGCTTAGAAAAAAATGATGAAATAGTTTGATGTTTGTGCAAAAACATTTTTTAAATCATCTTTTCGAGTAGAACAAGCTTTAATTTGAGTTTTCCTTTATAAAAATCATAAATCATAATTAAAGATTATAAAAGTTTTCACGACTATAGACTATTTTAAAGACAGAATTCCCATATTATTTCCTGCATATACAATTTTTCGGCGAAAAAATAATAGTTTTAAGTATCCAATCCATTTTTTCCGTGCCAGGGGAAATTCCATTTGGAGGAGTTATAGTTTTCATGAATTTACTGTTAGAATTCCATAACTAGAAAGGCTATTTGCGAGTTAAGGAGACTTTGGGACGTCAATGAAGATAACTACTGTACTATTTAATCAGTTGAACTAATAGAGAACTATCTCTAGAGGTTAAAACCTTATAAACAGGTGTCTATGCTCCGTATTTCACATCATATTCACTCCGTTTGAAGTGTCAAATTTCTAGAGATTTAAAGAAGTTCTAGGCCAACTTCTAATCACTCCACATGTGGCACCCATAATAAGTTAATGGACTCACCTGACTGACTCTGGCTGCAGCTGTTGTCCGTGTTGCTGCAGGAAATGCCGCTGCCGCTCCGGATGCCGCTGTCCCCAGATCCACGGGGGTTGTTGTTGTTGGCGTTGGCGGCATTGTTGCGCTGCAGCGTTGCATTCGCCATGGAGGCAGCTGTCCCGGACTTTTGCTCCTCCAGCTCCACCATGTTGTTGTTGGTGTCGCCTATGGTGTTCCTGGACGCGATTAGAGGGAGACGGGAAGAGTTTCCAAGCTGGAAAGGGTTTTCGGTTTACGGTTACGCCGCGGCCAGCTGCAGTGCGTAGTGCAACAAATGAGTGCAGCAATTTCTCGCTCTCTCGCGCTCTCTCTCTCTGCGTTTTCAGCTCATTCAAAATGGTGGCCGCCTATGGGATGTTTTTTGTTTTCCTCTACTTTTTAATCCAATTGCCAAGAAATGCGGCGGCTGTTTTTATTTTTTTCTTCTAGCTGTTGTGCAAACTGATTCTACTCTCTCTCTCGCTCGCTCCTCCGCTTCTCTACTCTTCGTTGGTCAAGTTTGGTGGTTGAGTCGTCGTTGGTGTTGCTGTTGTTGTAATCGATGGTGGCTGCTGATTTCTCTCATCACACAGGCGAAAAAAGGCGCAAGCAAAAATGGGTTTATCTATTCGCACCGCTTTTTTTTCGGTTATCTGACTTGGTTTTATTTTCTGATTTGCGTTTCACCTTTCCTTTGTGGGCTTGGCTGTGCAGTAGTGTTGTTGCTGTAGATTGTAGTTGCAGTTGTAGTGGAGGTGGTTTGCAGTGGTAGTGGTGGTGCGGGGTATTCTATGATTTTCTGTGGCTGCTGGAAGAGGCTGTGGTGGTGGTGGTGGTGGAGTTGGTCGTAAAATTTCCTCTGCTGATTACAACACAAAAAAAATCGCTGAATAGCGGACAAAAGCCGTTTTCTTTGCGTATTTCGCTTTAAGTTTCCTTCCCAGCTACCGATCCATTTTCAAAGTTCAAAATGATTCCGACGAATGACGACGGGTTTTCGTTGGGGGTGGGAGGTAGCCATTTGGTGGGGTTGTTCTGGGGTGTCTGGAAAATACCGCTATATCGCGTCGATGGTGATGGATTTTTATTCAGTCGGCTAATATCCTGTTCACACTGATGCACATCTAGTTGTCCTAAAAATAATAGAACTTACAACTCATAACTAATTGCAAGTGAACCTTAGTATGTGGAGCACGTAGATGTTTTCATCAGCATATCTATTTTTACGATAAGAAATACATAGATTCCCAATAGGACAATGTGCGTATGCGCTTTTTTTGGGCAACGTAATCAAAAAACGTAAGAATCATTTTACGTAGTGTCATTTAACGTAACACGGACTCTCCGAGAGCAGCTCTCAGAGAGCAAGAGAGTGACCATTTCCTTCCCAAAAAATCCTGAAACGTACAAAAATCACCTGAGCGCGTAAAATCCAACTTGGCTTCACGTCTAATTTGGCTAATACCGTGTTCACACTGATCGGCACAGTCAATCCCGAAACTCAAATTTAGTTGTCCTAAAAACGATAGAATTACAACTCAAAACTGATTGCCATTTGAACGTTAGCATGTGAAATGTTTTCAGCGGTAAATGATTTCAATATTGTTACTATAAAATTTTCCAAAAATGAGAATTTCATCCTTATAACCATTCTGAAAATTTTAAGAAATAGATTTTTTATTTTTACACCCAAAAAAAAATGATCATAGAAAGTAAACTATTTCTACATTAAAAGTAAACTATTGAGTGTCAAAAATTTCTCGATACTCTGAATATTAAACTAATGGACTTCGAAAGTATAAAAATGAAACTTTCGAAGTTGTCAAGTTTAAACTAACGAGTATACAGTTTATACTCACTCAGTGTACTGAAATTCAGGCTGCTAGTTTATTTTGTATACTATTTAGTATAATGCCAGTATAAATATTATACCCCGTATAAAAGAGAAAAAATTCAAAAAATTTTGTTTTGTACTTTTCATATATTATTAAAAATATTTTTTACATTTTTATAAATTACTGAAGGTAATTTTTAATTTAACTAATAAACATAAATGCAATACATGTACAAAATATGTACGTATGTGTGCATATTTGGGCAAATGCAGCCGTTTTACCGCTTATGTCGCTGATCATCTCCAGAGTGGTCGCCGTCCAGATGAATACCGAAGCTTTATCGAGGACGCTGATATTGAAGTTAACATTGCGCTGGCCGCGGTCAGAAAAAATGCAAGCCAATAGCAAGATCCTTAGTTCCCGGCATCTGGCAAATCTAAGCAAATATTAAAATTGTTCACAGGTGATTTTCACAAACAAACCTTAAACACACCGCAGCGTCGTTTACAAAATACACTAATGTCAAACCATTAAAATACTAACGCGTCGAATAACATTAAAAAGCGGTAACACTTTTTCTGTTCGAAATGTCCAGGTTCCAAACCAGAGCATCCTGGCTTCACACCAGGAACGAAAACCGAAAACTTCGGTATAGAAATTAAACTCAGGACATAAACTTAACACTATTTAGTCTTAACTTAACACTATTGAGTCTGCTCCTTACATTATTTAGTTTTGAATTAATACTGACAGTTTGATACTAGCTGTAGTATACTTTTAATACAACGCTCATTAAATGTAAACTTTCGGTTTTTTTTTTGGGTGTAGCTTTTATTTTTAGAGGACCTTTTTTTAAATTCCAAACTATGGGATTCCAATTGGTAAACCAAGAATATCAAATGGTTATATTTAGATCTGGTAACGCTGGTGGTTGCGAGCTCCGCTAAGAGATGGCTAGACTGGTTGGTAGGTTTCCAACGGTATACTAGTTCTCTACATGCATTTTACATGGCTTGTTGTAACCTTATTATTCAAAAACTGGCGGTTCTTTTTTAAAAAGTTTGAAAGACCCATAAATAAACTTTACCAAAATTAGATAGATTAGATCGATTTCAAATCCAAACCATTCCGCTAAAACTCCCAAACAAGTTAACAAAACGCATTTTTGGGTGATTATAATTTATTAGAATTTTTATTGACTTAAGGTAAATATAAATAAAATATTATTCAAGTACAAAGTTATATATACTCATTAATATTATTTGATTCAAGTAAATATATTTCAAAGTGGCGGTGTTTTATTATATCATTTTCTTCAATTAAGTACAATTTACTGTTCCTGCTCTCTATTTCTAGGGGTTCGCAGAGAGCCCAAAAGTACTCGCAACACTCGGTCTTTAAAGGTATATTCTGTGGGCAAGCCTTGTATTGATTTTGGGGCCTGTCCACAAAGTATTTCTGCGAGTCGCTGACGCCGCTCTGCCAAGTTTTGAACCTGGCCTTTGACTCGTGATTTCCTCGTCTTAGAGACCCGGGGATCGAGTACTTGTGGGTGCTTTGCGAACCGGGGGACTTTTTGCTTTTGCTTCAAACTTTGCCCATGCAACAATTGTTTCTTTGTGTAATTTACGTTTAATCAATGAATTTTGGATCACAAACAGTAAATACGTCTTTAACGATAATTGCAGTTGAATTAAACATAGTAAGATCAGGGGGAAGGTTATTTTGGGTATGGGGTATGTACCTTTTTTAATTATAAAAATATTGTATCTGCATTTTACATGTTTTTGTTTTGCTACTATCGCTTTTTTGCTCGAAATTACATAAGTCCAGCCTTAAACAAGTAATTTTCGTCACCAATCGCATTCGCGCACGCTCCATTATCCATAACACTCGGTTTTTTTCGTTTTCGTTTTCATATTCTTTCAATTCAATTTTGCATTTAAACGCTACGTTGCCTTAACTTCAGTCCTTTCGCAGAAAATCCTAACCCTTAAATGTATTTAGCTCTTCCTTAGCCCCGTCGATCTTTTTGCTTCCATCTTACATCCCCCGCATGCTGCAGACACTAAACATAAATTCAATACGTACAGTTTGTTTTTCGAATTATCGGTTGTTGGTGGTGGCATTATAACTCGTTTAATATATATAAAAGGTGTAATTTTACGCGCCCATCTGATCTTTGTCCTTAAATGCCATTATCCATCCACCTCTAACTACAGTTTAACTTCATCTTTGGCCGCATACCCCCGCATTACTTATTTAGCTCCTGTAAATATGAACTGCTTGTGTTTTTTACTGTAATTTTTTCAATTTATTTAAATGCACTAAAAGTTGCACGGACCGTTTGCCTATGAAGTCGGTTGCGTTCTATCCTGTAATTGTCATTTTTTATACCTTCGTTTTTTAAGCCAATGAAGTGTGTGAAAATATGTTTCTATTTCGTCATTTGTTCGTTTGTTTATGCTTTCTTTATGGTTGATGGTTCGTTTTGCGTTTATAAAATGCCAAAATTTGTGCAAATTTCTAAAACTTTTTGTTTTTGTCCTTCTCGTATTATACTAAAATATTTTTAACTTTAAAATGTACTTTTTCTCTTTAGATTAAATTTTTCTTTTCTTTTTGTTTTTTTTTTCATTTCGTTTCGTTTAAAATATTGCATTTTTATTTTATGTTTTTTTCTTTTGGAGGCTTTATCCCTGAGTGATTTAATTTCATTTGTTTGTCATTTATTGCAACTTTTTCTTTATAAACTTATTGTTTTATATTTTTTCTTATTCGATTTAGTGTGTCAAGAGAGAGAGAGAGTGAGTGAGACCAAGAAATTCAGTGGCAAAATAATAACTCCTGTTTGCTGTGAAGGTTGCTTAATTATTTATATGTGTGTTTTTTTCACGTTATTGTTTACAAATTGTCGTCTTGTTTTTTGGGTTGCCAGCCCACTGAACCCATTAATAATATGCTGCCTACCCTCTAGCGTAGTAACTGTATTTAGATTTGTATTTAGTTTTCTTTCGTTTTTTCCCTTTAATTTTTGGCTAATACATCTCTGCTTTGTCTATATGTAATTTGCTGTTCTTGTGTCGTCGTGGGTGCTTTCATCTTCTTTCTCTTGTGGGTGTGTAGTTAAAATATTTGTACTTCACTGCAAGTGTTTCAATTACATTCGGCACCAAATCGAATTGTAGAAACACAAGTTTTCGATTACAATTCTGATTAAGTACAGAGATGTGCCGGAAAAAAAGAGTTAAGAACGTGAAAAATGCTGGAAAATGTCGCTCTGGCTCAAACTCTATGAAAAATCCAGATTTTTAGGATCTAGCGCTTTAAAATGTGCCTTAACTTGGAATGTGAAATACAATATCCATATTCCCATTCGAAATCGAATTGAGACCTAAGTTTGAGCCCAGTGGGCCATTTGCGAGTTGCAAGTGATCGAAACAAACAAGGAAATAGTGTTTTACAGTATCTGTATCTGTAACTGCATCTGAATCTGTATCTGTATCTCTATAAGTGTATCTGTAGGTTAGCGTATTTAGTTTGAAGCTTCGTATAACTATACAAGTGGCTTGCAATATGCTGCATTGCTATGTATGCTCTTGAATCGGATTAATCGGTTTAATCGTGTATCGTTTATCGTTTACTTTACTTTATCGTTAATCGTTAATCTCAAAATGCTTTGTATTTGAACAGTAAATTACGTTGTCACTTGCTCGAAGTGTTTGCACTTTATTTCGGTTATTGTTTTATGCCTTTATTCCTATTCGGTTTTCATATGCTCTCTCTTTTGTATTTATATATATAAAAATATCCTTTTATACAGTTGTGTTTGCTTTCCGGTTATTGTTGCTGTTGCATCTGTTTGTTAATGTTTAGCGATTCTTTTCTTTTTTTTTCGTGCTATCTGCGATCCTATGGCTATTGCTGCTGTATAAGTGGCTCTTAACGCTATTTGTGGTTATCAATTATCATTTATCGGTATTGGTATTGATTGGTAAGCTGGATATAGGTGTACTGTTTTGGATATTGCAGTTGCAAGCAATGACGATGTTGGCTGGAAGTTGGGCATTTGGGCCTTTGCCAAGATGCAAGTTTTCTGTCTAGTGTTTGGTGTGAGTGACTCTGCGTCGAAGGTTTTCCTTTTCCTTTGAACATTCAAGTTTTAAAAGCTTAAGATTACATGACCTCGATTGGGGTTTCCCTCTATATGCCTATCGGTAAAATAAAATACAAGACTAGAAGTACAAATTTCGCTTGTAGAGCCTTCTTACTTCCTTAAAAATGTGCACAATTCAATAAGAATCTACGAAACACACGTTTACCATTTAATGTAGTGAACAAACAAAAGCGCCGCGAGGGCAACAAAAAGGCAAATCAAAAGGATTATAAATTGCACATATATAGTAAATCGGTTGCAGACATATTAACTTATTCTTAGAACAGCTTTCGATCGCCTCATCGTCTCAGTTTTTCTTCATTTCTTCTCTTGTTTATGCAGCGACTACAGATCACAGATCCCCAAAAAGAAACGAATGCGACAATTGAAGCGGCGTTATCTTTCCCTTAACATATGCGCATACTAAACTCGAATTTAAATCTGTCATTCTGCTGATTTGTACATTTCGATTGCTATACTTTGCTCGACCGTTTTGTTTTGTTTTTGTTTTTTCTCTGTTTTGTGCGAAAATCTCAACTGAAAGAACTAAAGCTAAAGAACTGAAAGTGTCGTGAACAAAATCGTACTAATACTTGCATCCAGTAAGTATAACTTGTGTTTATTTGAGGGTTATTGTAATTGGAGTTGGGTGACGCTCAGCAGGACCCCCGGTAAGCCCCCAGCGAATTTCAAAGGCAGCTCGGCTGCTCCCGACGGCAGTCAGTTGGTTAGATTAGATCCTTATATGGTATATGGATCTCATCAACTGACTAAACCGCCGCCAGCAGCCAGGCCGCCCCTTATGGCTTGAAATTCGTCTGGGAGTTTACCAGAAGTCCTTGTACGATCCTCAGGAGCCGTGCAGCGCGTTGCTCTGCGCACTGTTGCCGCCTCCACCGCCGCCACCACCTCCTCCGCCGGAGGATCCGTTCACGTTCTGCGCGGACACCTCCGACTTGACCCGTCGGGCGATGTGCGACCGCGTGTGCTTGCGCAAGTGATCCTTGCGATAGAAACCTACGAATTATTGGAAAACAGTTAATAACTAAGTAAGGGGGTACCGATTTTATAGACCACTGACCTTTTCCACACTCAATGCATACATGCTTCTTCTCGCCGGAATGGATGACAATGTGCAGAGTGAGCTGCTCCTTGCGCTTGAAGGACTTCATGCAGATCTGTGGGGGAAAAACGTAAAAGATTATTAATAATCCAACTCAATATTTTTTCACTTAAATTTAATCGTTTTAACGAAACAGTATTTACTTTAATTTATTCGTTTTAACGAAACAGTATTTAGTATTCAATTTATTTAGATACTATTTTCCATAGATCTCTTACTTATATTGCATGGATCATAGATATTTGTAGGTATAAATTATTTAATTATTATATATATTTAAAAAAAAATTATTTGCCTTTAATTTTATAAAATTACTTTTATTTGTAAGAAATTTTAGAAATATTTTCTTTTAATAAGTAAATTTAGTTTATCGGAAAAATAATGCTCTGTATGTAGAGGCTTTTTTTTTAATTTTTAGTTAGGTCACCATTACCTCAAAATTTTCTAAATTAAGGGAGAATACTTGTTTAGAAAATACTTAAATTGTACAAAATTGACGATTACAGAAATGAAATAACGCCAAAAAGTGAACGAAGAAGTTTTGACTAAATTATAATATAATACATCAGAATTATCGCAAAACAACGAAGAAAATAACTCAGTTTTCCCTTTAATATTACAGATTATATGGGTTATTTTTGGGAAACTTAAGGGAAGGCCTTTCGGGCCACTCACATTGCACACATGCGGCCTGTCCGGTATGTGGGATAGCTTGTGCCTGGTCAGGTGGTCCTTGCGCTTCAGCGCCGCATTGCAGATGTCGCAGACGAAGCGCCGCTCGACGGCGTGCGAGATGACATGCTGCTCGATGAGGCTGCGATCCGGATAGGCCATCTGGCACTCCGGGCAGCAGTAGAGCGTCGAGCCGTCCAGCGCCTTCGTCTCGCGGATCTCGCCCGGCTTGGGACGCGGCTTCTTCTCCTTTGGTGGTTTCTTCTTTTTGGTCTTCTTCCCGGTGGCCGTGCCCGTGCCGCCGCTGGCGTTCGTGGTGCCCACGGAACCGGTGCTGGAAACTGCGCCGGCCCCTCCATTGGTCACCGTTCCATTGGCATTGCCATTGACGCCATTGGTGGCCCCGCCATTCGTCAGCGCCGCTCCGTTGGCGTCCGTCATGTTGGTCATGTGACCGCCATGGTCCATGCCCACCAGTCCGTTGTGATGGCCACCGTTTGCTCCATTGTTGCTGGGCGTCAGGGCCACGCCCCCCAGCGCCAGACTGGCCAAATTGGTGCCATTCTTCAGGACATCGCCGGTGGACTCCTTCTTGATCGTCTCCGAGTACTTGAGGAAGTGCTGGATGGAGATGGGCAGTGTGGCGGAGAGCAGGTGCGACGAGTAGTCCACCGTGTTGGCCGTATTGGCCAACGTTTGCCAGGATTGGTTGACATTCTGCAGGATCTGCTGGTTGAGGACTGGGGAGGGGCAAAAGAAAATAGATACATTGTAGTTTCAAATAGTTAAGTTTAATGATTTCATTCTGCAGAGATTAAAAAATTGTTTTTGATTATTTTTTATTGTTTTTAAATCTAAGCAGTTTTTACCGAATTGCCTGCTCGTCTCTGAGTATACCCCTTACTATTGAAACTAAAAAAGGTACTTGTTACGTCTGAAAAATAGTATATCACTGTAACTAACCCTACCTTAACCAAACTTTATCCATGAACTCATTTTTTCTTACCCTAGTTTATAAAATTTTGTATAGCATACTTTTGAACACCTATCTAAAAGCTTTTGAGCAGTAGATTTAAGTAAATATTCGAAATCGACCAAATGGCAAGTAAGATATAAATTCACCATACTCTTTGGGGGCGTGTCAGCTGCTCCTTAAGTACATACATATGTATTTTACACGTTAGTTACCAAGTTTTGTTGGTCCTTTCCGGCATACAGAAGATTTTGGATTTTAGTTTTCCCAAAACAGTTTCTTCTGGTTTTATCACAGGATTGAACTTATGCTCTGCTTAAAAAATGAACACTTTTAAATCGAATCTTTTAGCAATTTAAAATCATTGGCAATCACTTACAAAACGTTTTAATATATAAAAACTGTCTCACAAATTTTTTAAGTTTAATCACTAGTTGAGTTAAATTTTATGTTTTCTTGTAGAATTTCTTATATAATTCAATTAATAATTACCAGAGCAGCCAGCCTATAATTTCTTCAACATATCTCGAAACTTTGTGACCGGAAAGGGCTGTCTATTCTGAAAAATACCAGGATAGTAACCATTTACTGCCAAGGACACATCGCAATCCTCCCCTCCTCTCTTCCCTTTTTTCAGCAGTGCAAACTTTTCGCCTTTGCAGCGTGCGTAATCAGGATGAGGAAAGCAACATCCACTTGTTTAAGGTGGCTCGGCGTAAAACTGGATGAAAAAGTATGCTATGGTGCCATTATAACATCCCAAACCCCCCAAAAAAGACCACCCCCACCCACACCAACTTGGGGGACAGCAGACAGGCCCAAAAACATTTATAAATAACGAAGCCGAAGGGAGACGCACGACGAGTGATGACTGCGTCCTTGAAATACACATATACCAACCCGAAAGCGCTGTACATACTCTCAGCTCAGCTTCCCCCCGAAAGCCCAACCCACTTTCTACCCACTATATGATGAACCGCCCACTTAGTCTCCCTCCCTCCCATCTGCGGGTCGGCGACTCACCTTCTTCCCGGTCACGTTCGATTTTTGGATGGATTTTACCCTTATGATCGGCCGCAGCGGCTGCATTGAGAAAGTTCAGATCACCCTGCGGCTGTGAGTACGGTATGGATATATTCTGGCCATATTGCATGTTGTTGGCAGCCGAAACTGAAAAGAGAGAAACTTTTTAAATTAATAATAGGCATGAAAAGTGTAGAAAAATCATTAAATTAAATAGGGGTTAAATAGTTCTAAGCATTTACACATTTTGTGAGCACAGCCTTTGGGTTAGGATTAGGTTTTTCACAGGGCTTTCACTGGCTTTTCTTCACTCAATTCGGCCGCCGCTCTCTTTCGCACACAACGCACTCTGGCCGACTAACTACAAGCGACTGACTGACTGACTGGGCCTGGCCTGTCCGGAGTTTCCCGATTTGGCGGCTCCGGCTGGCTGGCTGGCTCCTGGTTCCGGCCGGCTCCGAATCCGAATCGGAATCGAATCCCAATGGCTCAGCTGGCGCGAGCCGAATAAAGATCGGGTGCCGGCACAAAAACAACATACGGCCGACAAAGTAACGACGCTATGGCACGACACACGTACACTCACTATGGGGTATATATACGGGACTATATAGTTATATATACGCATGTATCTAGGGCCAGTAACGCTGTGCCTCTGTGTGTAGGAGGCAGCAACATTTTCTGCATATACAAATATTGGGGCGGACTTTGGTTGCTTGTGTGAGCCTCGAATAATGGAGACAAACACGTTAACAGAAATTGGATTTAACGTCTGCCGAAGATTATCACTCATACGCACTACATTGCGTATACGCAATGTTGCCGTTGTTTAGGAACCTATTTGTCAAAAGGTATTATCTGTTTGTCGATAGATAAGCAGATTATGAAGGTAAGTTAGCGGTTGTTATTATTTTTATCTAATGTAATATAAGGGATTACGGAAAAAAAATTTTATTTGCTTATCGAAAATTAAAGAAATTTATTTAAAAAGGATTTTTTACCAATGAATTCCAAAAACTGAAAAACTTTTTTTTTTGTAGAATATTTAAAAAACCTAACCTAGGCTATTTTTAGCCAGCAATACTAAAATTTGAAATCTAATCGATTTAATAAAAATCAATTTATTCAACAAACTAATAGCAAAAATTGTGTAAAGCATTTATTTAATAAAAAACAATTTGTATTAATTAGTTTTAAGTTATTACAGTAAATTTTTCCCCCTACAAGAAGAAACGAAGGTCCACCCTAAAGTACATAAATATATATCGGCAGAGTGTAGTTAACCACGTTGTTCCTACTCGCCGAACGTGCGTGTGCCTAAGAACTGTTGTTGTCTGCTGCCTGTCGTCGCCTCCCCACCGCCCATCCCTCGCCCCCCTAGCCAACACCAATACACTTTGCCGTCTGCCAAGGCCAAATTTTCACACACACACACACACACACACACACTGAGGAGAAACACACACGTGTTTTCGGGGCCCCGACAACGCATACATAGGAAAAAGGAAATTAAAACTGAAACTGAAAATGCCGGCCGCGCACACGCCCGAATGTATGCCATAGGAAAAGCGTTCCCCACTTTTTCGGAGGCTTTTCGGCGGGTGGGTGCATCTCCCACCCACCAGATTTCCCGATCCCCCGCCTCCTTGGTAGTTGAATTTTCCTTGCTTCTTGGCGTTTTCTTAGCCGGGTGCTCGGTTTTATAAATAACATTCTCGGGCTGTTGCCAATTGCCTGGTTTTGTTACATGTATTTTTTCCGACTGCTCCTGCTTCCTTTTAGGAAAATACATAGCCCATATTTCGGGATGGAAGGATTCAGGAAGCTCTACTTTATATTTTATAATATTATTCATAAGCAAAAAAAAAAAAAAAGAAGAACATGAAGAGGAAAACAAACTTTCTTTTCCTTCTCGCTGACGTGGTGAAATTTATGTGTCCCCGTGCGTGTGTTGTGTTGGTCTGTGTGAGTCTTAGTCGCTGTATAAATTACCATTCGACCTTGGGCCCAGCAACTTAACATATTTCCAAATGCTTTAATTTTTCGCAAAGGCCTTAGACGGTTGGCGTTAAAAGAAGCATTCAAAGTGTTGCTTTAATAAAATCGTTGAAGCGGAAATGATTTAAATTGAAAACATATGCTTATGCAAATGATTATGCTTAAACGAATTAAGGCCAAAAAATAAGAAAACGTTACTTTGGGTCCTTTAAAAGGACTCTCTTCTTGTTTATGCAAATGTTTCTGTAAGACCTGGGAAATATGATCTCTAAGGACAACTTGAGCTTGGAACAACTGGTCGAAAAAGTAGGCTATAGATTTGTAAAAATCGATTGTTTTATGCAGGACCAACTAGTCTTTTAAAAAAGTTATTTAATACAGGTTTTGAAATTGGTTTTTGTTTTCTATATGTATAATTTAGTATATGATATTTATTTAACAAATTTAAAAAAAATAGATTGTATGTAGATCTTTATCATTCAAAAACTCTTGTCCTAACATTTTCAGACTATCCTAATAAAATAAGAAAAATTTAATAAGTTAAAGAGAATTTGTTGAGGCATCATACTCTGCAGAATGATTTTAAATAAGTAAATGAAAATTAAACGGCAATCAAGGAAAAGGGTTCAAAGGCAGCCGGAAAAATCGGCCGGAATGGCCGAAAATACGGAGCCATGGCAACAACAAAAAGGGGGAGGCGTGTGCGTGGATGGCAACTGGCAACCGGCATTCGTGGCATTTCACTTTTCACTTCACTTTCCCATGAACGGGATGACGACAACGACAACGACAACGACAGGGAAAACGAGGAAAACAACGTGCGGCGTATAGAGGAGACGAATATATCGCCGGAATAGGAATCGGTAGTCGGGAGTCGGGAATCGGAGCCGGAGTAGCGAGTCTAGTAAAGTCGGTGAAGTCGGAAACACGGCCAAGCGAGAGTGAGAGAGAGCGGTGAGAGTGGAGAGAGTGGCGGAGATTGTCGTGTCTATGAGAATGGGAGAGTGAGAGAGCAAAAGTGGGGTTCTGGGCGGATCGTTCGTTGTCAGTGGAACAGCAAAGTGGAACAAAATGGAAAGGAATGCGCCTGGCAGCGATTTGAAAAACATGGCGTTTATCTGTGCTCCTGTGTGTCCATGTCTATGTGTGTCGAACGTACTGGTGTGCGTTTTGTTGTGAGAGGCAGTGAAAGCGGTGAGAGCGCCAGCGCGGGAGAGGGAGAGAGCGCCTAAGCTAGAGAGTGAGAGCGTGGCGTGGTTGGGAAAAACTGCAACCCCTAACGGAGTTGGGCGAAACTTGACCCCAAGCAAGGAGAGTGAGTTAGTGAGAGAGAGTGGGGGTGGGAAAGTAAAAGGGTGAGGGATGTTAGCACTCGAAAAACTATGGAAGTACTTAGTGGTTAATTTATGAATTTTGTATTAAACTAAATAAAATAAAATAATAATGATATTTGCACTAAAACCTAAAAATATACAACAATATTCTTTTTAAGTCTTTTATTCTTTATTTAAATAATTTAATTGTTCTTAATTATTTTTGAGAATATTGATTGTATCAATTAAAATATTTATATCAATAAAATACATTTCTAAATTAAAATGTTTTTCTTTTCAACAGCAAAAAACTTTTCTTTCTCTGAGTGTATTTCTACGGGAGAGAAATCATACGAAATCGAGAGGGGTACAAAGTAAACGGCGCCATCGGCAGAGTTTAAGTCATCAGCGCCAACAGGACGAAAAACGAGAAAAATCGAAAGCTCAACGTCCGCTTTAAGCCTTAAAGTCAAAGAGGGAAAACAAAGGAATAAATAATCAATGACGGCTAATATTTATTTATCTATACCCATTCAAATGAAAGGGCTTTTTGGGGGTTGGGGTCTGTGTGCCCATCGTAATTGCTTTATCATGCGCACTTTTTTAGTGTTGCATACATCCAGGCAACGATTTGGGGGTGTAACCAGTCATTCACACCCATGAAGCACATACATCTATGTACTGAGCACATAGGTACATAAGTACGTACATATGTACATAAAAAATGCAAATGGTTTATGGCTGGGGTGTCTGCTGAACATTAGGGGGACGTTAATAAAGGGCAGAGGACTGTGTCCTCGACAACAAGATACCCGGTGTCCACTGAAATCCATAATATTTTCAGGATAAAGGGTTAGAGTCATACAATTAAAAGTTGTCAAGTCTGTTGTCTAATCCTGGAAGTTTGGCATACAAATTGAGTTTACTACGGAAAAAGATAGTAATGTCATGTGGAGGTATTAAAAAATGACAATTTTTTTTGGAAACTACATTTTTTGTAAATGCAAATGAAAGATATAGCAATTGTATTAACATGCTAAACCTGAAAATTTGGTAATATTGGTGACAAGCTTTCATTAAAAACCTAACTTATCATTATACCCGTTATAAAGGATAATAAACAATACGTCAATTTTAAAATTTTACGAATCCTTACAGCTAGAAATCTCCATAAAACGAATATTAAGTAAGTAGAAAGGTTTTCTTATGAAAATATTTTTTAAATTATCTTTATAGCTGTTTCATAATTATATGCTTCCTGGATTTTCCAGCATGTGAACTCGGAACGACCTTTCTCTCCCAATCTTAGTCAGGTATTTTATCTGTTTACATTTCGAGTCCCATACCCAGAGGCCAACTTCGAAGGTCCAGCCATATCTATAGATTTACATCTACTGCTGCACATTTCCTGGTAACCCAATAATGATTTATACAAGCGAACCGAGCAAATTATCGGGTAGGTATCGAAAGATAAACCTCGAGCAGGTCGCAGAGTCGCAGGGCAGCGATAATGCAGCTAATAAGCGAGCAAAGCGAGAAGCAGGGAAAATGCAGTAGCTCGAGTACGTGGGACATTATTTTACCTGCCTGGGTTCGAGATTGGGATTGGGAGACCTGGGATCAAGCAGCACACACAGTCCAGCAAATACCAAATACCCAGACCCGTAGATTACATCCAGTCGTATGTATTCGAAGAGATAAAAGAGCATTACCCACACACATACTGGCGAACGCATTTTCCTGTTATAGCAGGTAAAAAATATAAAACGCTAAACTGGAAATATAATGCGTAGCTCAAAAGCCGGGATCAATGAACCTAACCGATGCAGAGGAGTTTGGGCTTGAGTTTGGGTTTGGTTCTCCACTTTCCAATAAATGCAAGTGGAAAATATCTGTGCAGTTGCCAGGGCAAAAATAAATTATGAAATGCATCCTCCGAGGGATGGGATGGGGGTTGCCTGGGAATCTAATTATGCAAGCAAATGCAACTAATTAGAATTGATAAGAAGAAGGAGCCTGCGGTTAGGGGTTAGTATAGGGGTTATGTATTCCAGATATATCGGGGGTGGGACGACCGACCAACCGGTCACACCCTTCCACTAGAAACAAGGGGAAAAAAAGTTGCAACTTGGCAGGAAGTCAGTGCAATTAAAAAGGCAAAGGCAGGCTCTCAGGGGTTGGGGGTTGTAAACTCACACTCGCACACTCATACTCACACCCAGCACACACATACATATATGTATTTAATTGTATTTCTATGTATGTGCTTAAGTAGCTGAAGAGAGCAGTGGTAAAAACCCACCCCTACAAAAAAACAAAGTGAAATGCAGCAAATTCAAAAGTTATTTGAGTTCATTGCATTTTCAAGCCACGCAAAACAACAACAACAAAAAGTTATAGCTCACACACACAGCTACACCCACTTGGGGGTGGGTGGTAATGACTCAAAACATAGAGCGGAATATACTCGTATAAAAAAGAGCGCAAAACAAAAACAACGACGAAAAAATCGTTAAATTCAGCTTTGATGACAGGGTATACTCGTACTCGTAGTCGTACTAAGTCGCTCCACCCCTCTAACCAACCCCCAAAAAAATTGTAGTGCGGTTTACAAATTGCCCGAAGAAGATGTCTTCGCTGGCCAGAAAGCGAGAATTTCAGGGATGGGGGTGGAAAACCCGCTTACACTCACACATGTCGTTATGCGAATGATAAGTAAGTAGATCCAGATGGAAGCCACCTTTCGCTTGCAATTCAAGGAAAGTAATGTTCGCAGCTCAAGTGGTCGGTTTTATGAAAGAATCGAATATCCAAACTTAAAGAGAGGATCTTTAAGATCCTGCGGGGAAAAAAGTTTCTGACGTTTCTGAATTTCCCCACAAAGTAATTATAAAGATCAATAAATAAATGTATTACGAAATTTTATAGGCGATTCTGTAATGCAGTTAAATTGCTGTTGTAAAATTTAACAGCTGTAAGCACTTTGTGTTAAGCTCTTGTTGTTATTTTCGCTAGGTCTTCAAGTAAATATTTATTTTTCTGCTTTCTAGCCAAGTTCTTATGGATTTCCTGTATTTATTTCTTTAAATGGAACATTTTTATTTCAAGGGCGTAAATATGTTTCTTTTTAAATTTTTTTAAATTTGTAAACTAATCAATTTGAATAATCAAAATGTAAGAGGTTACATATAATCATCATCTTAATTAATTAAAAATTTAAGATCACCATGGAAGTAGTGGTTCTAATTATTTTTATGGAAATTAAAATATCACTCTAAATATATGATTATAATTATTTACCTTACTATATGGTTAACTGTTTTTTTAAGCCCGAAAATCCAAAATCCTAAACTACAATCAACTCTTTTAATCAGGTTTTTAGTCGTATAGCCAACTCGAGTACTTAGTGCCCTTTGGCCCAAAACAAAACCCTGTGTAGGGCATTAGGCAAGGCACTAGCCGACCCCCTCTCAGTCGCTGCCTCTGCCTCTTCCTCCTTACTCTTCCTCTTTTTGTGCCGCCTGTGCTCGAGTGAGAGTGTATACCCCCTGACGCTATGACGCCGGCGTCGCTGCCCGCAGCGGGCGAAAATAAATCGATAAAAATAAAATAAATTTTTAGTGATTATGTTATACAGACACACATGTGCCTGCATGTGCATGTGCATGTGGGATAGCTGTAGGGACTGGTATTGGGCTGGGCATGGTGTAGTGTATTTTTATTTGTATCTCTATGTAACAGAGATGCACTTACCGTTGGGCACATTCTGATTAAAGTGATTGCCATTGGTCTGATAGCGCTGCACATGGTTATCGGTGCCGGCCGCTGCCGCAGCGGCTGCTGCATTCGCGGCGGCCGCGGGGGGCGTGCCGAAGGCGCCGGGCGTCTGGGCGTCGAATTTAGCGGCAAACTGATGGATGCCGGAGAAGGGGCCGCCGAACGCGGAGAAGTTCATCATGTCACAGGATCTGGGGGGTTGATCGGCGGGGGGATACGAATTTTGTTAGGGCCTCGAGGGGCCCGTTTTTTGTTTAACAAAGATAATCCTTAGAATCGGTTAAAGCACTTTACTCGATCGGTTTTATTTTATTTTATTTTCTTTAATTTTTTGTAATTATTTTCTGCACAATGCGAAAAGCGATGACGAAGAGTAGTGGGTGGTGACGGTTGGTGGTGTGTGCTTTCTGTTGTTGTTTTCCTGTTCTCCGCCGCCGCTGGTTGGGGTTGGTTTTCTTTTCTTCGCCTCCTCTTCCCTTTCCTTCTCCCCTGGCCTTCCCACACTAACACTCACACACACACACACAGTAACGCGCGTACGAGCGCACAGTTTTATGCTGTGCTTTGCTTTTTCGGGGGTAGAAAAGCAGAAAAGCAGAGATGCAGAGAAGCGGGCCCAAACACAACACACACTCACTCACAAAACACACGCGGAGAACCACTTTCGGTTTCGATTCTCGATTCCGCTTGGAAATTCGTACTCGGATATTCTGATTCTCAGCTCGGACTCGACTCGAACTAAAAACACGCACACACACCCCGGCGGAACGGAACGGAGCGCTCTAAAGTCTCGTCTCTCGTCGCTCGCTTACGATTTCGCTTACAACCAGTTCGCTGGGGCTCCCGCAACAAACTAAAAGTAACATTACAACGAGGCGAAAGAAAGCGGAAACACTGGGCCAGGCACAGCGACGCGGACGCGACGACGGCAGCACTGCGACGCAAATGACAGTGACAGTGCCCAGGGGCGTGCAGGGTATATTGGTGAGTCGGCAGGGTTGGGACCCCCTCTCTTCTTCACTTTCTTCGTTCTTTCTAGTTTACAGCTCGTCCGGTGGTTAATGGCACACTCTCTATCCCATCGCTCCTGGTTAGTTTAACCTGCAGATAAGATCAATCATTTATTTTGATTTATTATGATGGTTTATGATAGTTTTTAAGAATAATGATACTTTAAGGTGTTTAGCGTAAGAAAAATTCATTGGCTAATGACACTAATATTTTTAAACTATCCTGTTTATTTTAACCTTCAGTTAAGATAATTGTTTAGCGTAACAAATATTCATTGGGTAATGGCACTATTATTGAGAAACTATCCTATTTATTATACCAGCAGTTAAAATCGATGCTTTCTGTTAATGGCACTATTATCATTAATCTATCCTGCTCATTTTAATCTGCAGTTAAGATCGTTGTTTGGCTAAGAAACACAGAAATATATAGAAATATATTACAGAAATTCATTATAAATTTAACATTATTAAGCAGGTACTTTATAAACAAAAGTTTGTGCTATAAAAGTCGCTCTCCCTAATAATGATACCTTTTACTCGGTACCAAACTGGTCGCATACCTTCCAACTGCACGACTGCAGCATTCTTACATGTTTGTATTAGTTCGCTGTGTGTGTTTGTACGACTGTCTGTTTGTATGTGCGCTGTGTGCCGCTTTGAGGGTGGAAGTTTTTCTACTTCTCTGGAAAATGCGCGTTTATTTGTACGTTCTGTGCTGTGTTCCTTACATTTCGCTGCACCGAGCGCCGGGCATATGACACTGGCCCCAGGCCCCTGCTCCTGGTGCTGCTGCCGGGATTTCCAGATTCTGCTGGGCCAGAATATTCATGCGCGATCCGTGGATCCGTGCAGGCGAAGTGCAATTTATGCTGGGACTGAGACTGAGGCTCCGAGCCTCATAAGCCAGACACGCAGCGAGACACGAAATTCAGGATGAAAACCGGTTGCGAGCGTAGCATAAAAACTGGTTTCCAGCGAGAGATGAGCTACTTTTTGTGACCGCCGTCGTGAGGCAACAACAAATAAATTGACAACGCCAAGCAGGATGACTTTTCGAATATGTGGATTTGATATTAAGCACGATCAAAAAAGGCCATAAAGATTGCACTTTTTTTAAATGGTAAAAATACAATTATTTGCATTTTAAAAATTGGATTCGGATGTCCTATACTCTTTTATCTTAACGATTAAATATTGAAGGGATATCAATTTTAATTTAGTAAATAAAATATCCTATAAAATATAAAAGTCCAATCAACCAAAATATGAAACACTTTATTTTTTCTCGGGTTAAAAAATAAGTTTCAAAATATTAATCCTAAAAATTCGACTTGATCTTGCAAGTAGGGTATCCGCAGATCGGTGCCGACTGTCCACAAGAAAAACGCACACACAATGCGCCTTGTATTTTTATTTGGTTTTCCAACTTTTTGGGGTTGTGTGGTATTGCTGTGCACTTATACGTTTACATGTGAATGTCCGTATGTACCGGCGTATGTACCGTGTGTTTTCAAGTATCTATGTTTGGTTATATGCTTGTGTGCATGTATCTGGATCTGTTTGCCCACGGATACGGATGGGAAGGGGGAGAAGAGGAGAGGAGTGAGCGAGAGAGCAGAGCGTTCGCGTTCTCGAGCGCATTGCTCTCGTTGCATTCAATTCTGCTTCTTCTTCTGCTGCTTCTGCTGTGTGTTGTATTAATGAAAGTGAGTCCAGCGGCGAAAGAAAGCAGGCCGTGGAACTAAGACAAGTTCTGTTTCTGATTCTGCCGCTTCCCCTGTTCTCTTCCCTTCGCTCGGCTCGCAAGTGTTTTCATGTTTTCCAGACCCACGGCAAAGGGTTCGAGATCGGTACAATACCGCCCCCTAGGAGTAGGAGTTTCGACCCATTTTCAAATCACTGATCCGTCTTGAACTTGATGTACTACTGGGGATTTTTAATGACAGATAAAACTATTTTTTATAAATTCTAATTTACAAAATAATATTAATAAATAATAACAAGAATATCAAACTGTTCGACTAGTTCCACAATGAGTGTTTAATTCTTTAAAATATTTTTCAAAAATTTAAATATCTTTTAAGTTATAAAACAATTTGAAATTTATTATGATTAATTTAAAGAATATTTTATGTTTTTTTTACAACCCACTTTTTTAAGCTGTAATATTTAAATTCCATTTTTTTAAATATTGAAAATAACATTAGAAAGTTATAGACCCAAATAAAATTCAAAACAAAAGTGCAGGGCGCTGGCTAGTCGTTTCGACTGCACCTTAATTTTTATGTGTTAATGCACACACACACTTGCACTTGCATAAATGCCTGAGTGTGCGCTTGTCTGTATGTCTTTCTCATTCTTGTTTTTTCCTGTTGCAGTCTTGTCTTCTACTCGTTTTATTAAGAGGGTTGGAGTTTTTTTACGTTCTCTCACATTCTCCTTGCTTCGTCTCTCACTCTCTTGCTTTCTCCCTCACTCTCTCTCTCCCAGACCCTCTCTTTCTGACGCGCTTGAATTGAACCTTTGAATGCAATGCTTTGTTTAGCTTGATTTTCGAGCAATTGCAACTGTTACATGTGTTTTATCTAGAATTTAAATGCATATTTTCCAATTATGAATTGTGTTGCCCGGCAACCGGGCAAATATTCCAAATATCGGCTAAGACACCTAAAACTCGATCACCGGCATTATCAAGTACCTCGATACACTCACACTTGGGTACAGAATGTACCTGCAAATACATACATACAAACATAAGTACATACCCTATGTATGTAATGTTAATGTTATGATATTAGTATGTAACTCGTTTCCCTATTCAGCATCCTCTCAAGACCCCCATCCCCATCTCCCTCGCACACATCCATCATAAGCGTGCAGGTTCCCGTACTCCTCCGAAATCTTTTCAGCTAATACCCGACTTAGGAACTCGTAAACCCTTTCCTATGCGGCCAAGATAAACCCTATCACCACTTGCAATAATTGAAAATGTCAAGGACCATCACTCAATGAGCTTAGGATAAAATAAAAATTCGTTTCTTAATGGCGTTTATTCGTTTTATTAATTATCATGAGCTTTTAGTGGGCTGAAAGGCTTACGGCAAAAAGTCGGGACGTTAGGAGGGGTATTTAATCTATGCTAATTGAAAAAGACAGGCACAGCTTTGCAAAAAAAGATTAAGTCCACCTTGCACACCTTTCCTAATACACATTTATAAATGTTCATGTTTGGTTTATTTTATAAATAGCCATATATTGTTATTCGTATATCATATGGATATGATCCTTGGACCATTCAGAGCACCCCCAAAACATAATATTATGGATTACATTCTCAATATTCATATTCATATAAGTTAGATTACGTATGTATAATATTTTGTCCTTATTTTTCTGTGCAATATTTGTACACAATGTATTTATAAAAGGTAAGAAACAATGAGTGTAGAAAACAAGTATAAATAACCTACAAAAGAAGTAGACCAAAGATCATCGATTTTAAGGTTAATATCACAAAAATTATTCAAATGATTCGTTACTAAGCGCAAATGAATGAATGAGTCAAGCGGAGGCAGGCATTACAAAATCATAATACATTATACCGACTATATAGATACCAATACTTTTTGTTCTTTAGCTATTTGAGTATTCAGGATAGAATATTTAACGCTTGAGTTATATGGAAATATAATTGTCTATTTGTAAATGGAGTATATATCGCTATGGCCACGTTAACCCAGCGCAGCCGATAGCAGGGGCTCCCAGGCCCTATTAGTGTCCATATAGAGTTGGGTACACTGCTCCGCCAGAGAGTCGCCGTCGTCCAGTAGGGTTATTGGAAATAGATCGTTCTGAAAAATAATAAATTAAGTTATTTTAAAGTACTGGATGGAAAAGAGTGGAAAACCCACATTTTTAGACTGCCAAAGTTGCTCTAGCAACCGCAGAAAACGTTGCATTTCCATGCTGCTGGCAAAGAAGATCACCAAATCGTCTAGATTTTCCAACGGGGCTTCCTGACAAGAGAACTCCAATATGCACCACCAAGTCTCGCTACGCGACGTTATCTTAATGCCAGTCATCGCTTTAATATCCGCACAGGTGAGTATCGCCAGGCCAGAGTTCTTTCCATAAACACTGGTCATTCGCTGCGATTTTCCGGGTGATGTTGCATTTTCCTTCGAAGCCGGCGGCTCGTTTGTTTGCTTGGTGGGCGTGGAGCTCAGCGAGGAGTACGAGTGTTGAGTGCGTGTAGGTGTACTGATGGTGGAGCCCATCTAAAAATTAAGATAGATTTTTAAGTAATTAATTTGGTAAACAATTAGCTTACTCACCAAGCTGCTGGTTTCGAAAACACTTAGCATATCCTCTTCAAGCAAAACTTCCTTGTTCTCCGGAGCGACTGCATTGCCATCAACTTGCTGGCTAATTTGTCGCAAGGGAGCCGAAAAGTCTTCACGCAAGGTTATCAAATGGTTTTCAGTAACTATTAAAGTACAGCCCAGGGTTTTGTGCTTCTCGTCTTGAACCACAAGCTAAAAAAAAGGCATACAAAATTTATAAATTGCTTATTTTTAATGCT